TATGCCTCTCGTTCCATAATTCATTCGCGCTCGATATATATAATGGCAGCCTACGAGATGCGCTGCTGCATACATTCCACGGGTAGAAAATTACTTAATGCAGGCACGCGCGAGAACGACGTGAAAAAAAAAAAAACGAGAGCAATCATTTACACAAATGTGTGCGTACGCATCATCTTCGACGATACCGATCGCAATGATATTAGTACGATATAATAACATAGCTCGAGGGGTAGCAGCAAAAGAAAAAAAAAGAGCTGCTACCTGATGTCGCAAAGTATGATCAGCCCATCAATTATGCCGATGATCGATAGCGAGTCCATTATAATGTATTACTTATTATACTCGTTTCGCGCGTGCGAGGAAGTGATCGTTTTAGGAAGGCGAAAGTGTCAAGGTAAGTCGTTAATACCCGCGCGAGTACGTAATAATCGAGCGCTCGAGCGATCGCGATTGAAGAAGATGGAAAGTTAAAGAGTCTCTCTTCATTTTCACCCGTGGAAGATTGCAAAAAAATAAAAGTCAAGAAGAGGTCTATAATTAAAAAGCCGTCCGAGCACATCCGATATCAAAAAGAGGAAAAAAAAAGAAGAAGAAGAAGATGAGATAAAAATTCGGCGTGTGTATATAACTCGTCGACGATAATATAACGTAACCGCGTAAGAGGAGGATATTACGACGCGTTGATATTTGCGCTTTCAAATGTAGCAACATACATACATAGCTCAATCGCATCCAAGATCGAACGTCTGGCATACTAAGAAGAAAGATGATGAAAAGTGTGTACTTCAAATCGGTAGTCCCGAGGCGAATGATACTACGAACTTCTATATAACTGCTCCCGCGTGCGCCAAAGGATGTGTTTATGGTACGGACAAAACGGATATAACTGCATCTCTATATTCTGCTCTCGCTCGCTCGCTCGCGGGAGCCTAAGCAGCAGTTTACGATCATTTTTCCTCGTTTTTTTTTCTCAAGCGGCGGCACGAGAGCTGCTGGCACAGACAAACAAACAAAGGGCAATATATATACCCGTACGGTATATATATATAAAGTGCCACGATCGCGCGCATGCACTTTCACTTTCGCGCGCGCGCCAAACACACCAAGCAGACGTAGTAGAGCGAGAGCACCGAACGCAAGGGAATTGCTACTCGATCTTCGTGTATATATAATGCACCGAGTCGCGAGTCGCTGGTCTATATACACTCCCTCGGAAGTGCAGTACTACGAGGCGCCGTCAGGAAGTGTCTTCGCGCCGAGTCGATATCGCGCGCACCGCAATTCTCGTTGTTGTCGTTGTTGTTGCTGTTTTTTTTCTTTCACTTTCGTAACACCGTAATAAATGATACGAGAGCTAGGTAAGAGCTTGGAATCGGATTGTCACAAGAGAGAGAGAGAGAGAGACATTGACTATATCGATTTGACGAAACGATCGTTGCTCTTTCAAGGAACTGCCATCGCAGCGGCGGAAACCGGTGAATGAGCTGGCGCAGAGTATATGAGTGTAAAAGCTTTCGCAACGATCGTGTGCATGTATATGATACGTATGCAGCGATCGCGGGACATATTAGGCATTAATACACGCATGTGTGACGCGTGTGATTTTTTCCTCTTTTTTTGTGTTGAGGGCGAAAATCGTGTCGGATCGTTACGCAATCGCGTGCATGCGTAAGGCGAGTCGACACACAAGAGCACCGAGTCCTTGATCGAGATCGCCTCCGTATACGAGCGAAGATACATTGCACCGAGAGAAAACCAGAGAGATGCAAAAAAGCTGGCTGCACTTTCGATCGAAATCGAATATCTGCGTAGAGGTGCAGTTGTAAGGGGTAAGAGAGAGAGACTTACCAAGAGGGCCAAGCTCGCGATGGTGAGGCTGTCATTTCGGAGCCTCATGATGAGACTCTGAGAAAACTCGTTGGGGCTGCTCCCTCGCTCGGAGAGGAGCAAGCACGTGCTCTGCCGCGGCTGTTGCGATTTCCAAAGGGGGGCCTCACTCACTGCTCACTCACTTGTACTCTCCCTGTGCGGGATCACTGCACCATTGCACACATGCACCGCTACAACTATATATTATACTACTACTACTACTACTACTACTACTACTGCTATTGATCTTTTCTCGCATGTGCGGCCCCCGAGTGCAGTCACGCGTGTAAAAACAGATATGTATCGGTATCTACTATGAGTCGAGAGTCACACACACGGGAGGCCCAGAAAACGTTTAATTCCCGCCGCTAACCGAACGCCAACTGAGATCGACTTTGGATCCCCATGCGCCGTAGCCGTCGTCGTTGGTCGTTCGATGGAAAGTCCAGTCGAGCGCGTAAGCGAGAGCAGTTTGGATTACGGGGGCAGCAGCAGCAGAAAGAGAGAACCGCATACATGTGCCTCTTGTCCCTGTGTGCCACCGCCGCCGCTGCTGCTGTTGTTGTCGCACTCTTTTCGATTATTATTACGCGTGCGTGTGTGAGTGCGAGTGAGTGGCTACATTCGCTTTCTCGCTCGCTCGCACGGAGAGCTTTTATTCCTTTTTTTTTTTTGCTTTTTAATCGGAGCCATTCCGTCACGATCAACGAGGCACACGCATCGGACAGCAGCAGTAGTAGTATTAGTAGTAGTAGTAGTAGTCAGTAGTGGTAGTGGGATTCGCGCGTATAATACAGAGAGAGAGAACCGCGTTCGATACAACGCGTAGGCGCGAGAGCTCGAGCCGCAGAAACACGGCGAACGAGTTTTTTTATCCTTCGATTTTTTTTTTTCACTTTTTTTTTGTTGCTCGTATTGTATATAAAGCTGCGAAATCCCTGGCATTAGCCGAGGTGCGTACGGACCGAACGGAAATCGGTGCGCAGGAGGATATTGAGGATGTTTGTTGCGTTGGTCCATTCATCGGAAGTAGCGAGCGAGACTGCAGCAATAACAAAATTCGGCATATATTTATTTTTCCTCGCTATACACGCGTATACCTCTCATAGGTCACGACGAATCCTCCCGCGCGCCACAAGGCCGAATCCGATTCACGCGCTAAACTCTCGATCGGCATAATATTTAAATACGCAAAGCGATCGCGCGAGCTTCTGAGTAATTTTTAAAAGGATATCTCTCTAACACGTATCGAGCTGTATAGCGGGAAATTAAATATACCAATGAGTACGTGTGTTGCGTGGGTACAAGTGCACGCATAAATATACACGTATGATCGATCTAGTTTTCTTTGGGGCAGTACGGCGCACGTACAACGCGTTTAATACTTCGATATTATACATATGGCTCGATCCATTGCGAAACTGGAGATCGCGAACGACGACGTTATTTTTACAATTATGTCAAAGGCGCGCGTACTCGGCGATCCAGTTCGCGGCACGGCATCTCTTTTGCCCCTGTTACATATTTCATGTTATTTAAACACTCGAGTCTGTAAAAGATCGACTCGCTCGATAACTCTCGATGTTATTATATGACCTTGCTCCTGTTCCACAATACTGTACGGAGTTAAGTGAGTTGAGATATTTGTCGCTGCATCCCTCGCGCATTACACATGTATACCGAATCGACGAGTGTCTGCGTGCAGTCGTGCGCGCGTGGGTGGACATCGTTGCGCCATGGATGAGTTGCGCACAGCTGCCATGCGACGACGACGACGACGACGACGACCTTGCGCCAAGGCAGCCGCTGCATCGAGGAATTATACACCGCACGGTATTTATGTATTAGCTTCGCGCGCCACATTTTCCATCCTTTGTGCAGTATAAGTATACGTGGGTTCGCGTTCAATCGGATAAACAGCGCGCTTCTATACGGGGGCCGCCCGCGATGATCGACGACGACGACTCGCGAGGCACATTTTTTTCTACTATGCTAATCGAAGAGAATCACGGGCGCAATTAGTTCGGGGGGCCCCTGAGAGAGTGTAGCGCATCGATTTGATGCACTTTGTTATAAAAGGGCTCCTCGCTCTCATACTCTGTTGTGTGTGTAAGTGTGTGTGTGTGTGGGGGGCCGACAAATAGTATTCATTTTTTGCGTTGCACGACGTACAGTACAGTGACAAATGAGTCGACTCTCGAGCTCTCGCACTCACGGGCCAATTCGCACGCGTGTATACACGCTTTAATGTATTAATTACGTTTTATTATTCCGCTCGATTTATCACGCGGACGAGCAAATGTGATTGTGTGTAGCGGCTCGATTATTATATTATTGCGAGCATCGCGCAGAAGTAATACGATTCGTCGTGTTTATTTATTTATGTACGAAGCACGCGCGAGCTGGTGCGCGCTTTGATCTTCGATTCGATCGCCGATCGATCGATCTCTACCCCCGCGTAACGATCGTTATTATACGTACCCCTCCAAGATACACTTTAAAGGGAGCCGCATGAGCTCAATCTTTCACTCGATTCAAATCGTCGTTTTATGCGATAATCATCGTTCCTCTAAATCGAATTTGCAATTGCACGACTCGCTCGCGCGTGTGCGGGCCTCGTCCGTCTCGCTTTTTTCTTCCCTTCGGTATTTCCAGATTTTCGAATACTCATCCGTCTCTGCTATACTTTTTCGTTTTCTTACGCAGCGATCGCTTTTATAGCTATTTTATACTCGCATTAATGTATATTGTTTTCGACGAATTAGTTTTGCCTTGGCATATCTTTGAGGAACCTCCTTCTTCCTAAAAGCGAATTCCACCTGAAAACGGAGTGAACAAAAAAAATCCACCGCGACGACGACGTCGGTATTGTTCCATCCTATTTAGGAGACTTATAGGCTTGCCGCACACACACATAATAGCTGACCTCGATCGATCATTCGCGTGTATATGTATACAATATAATCCGATAATGAGGCAGCGGCTTTCATCGCAGCTACAGCGTTTCGGCGAAAAATAGCTGTGTGCCTTCTATACTCGTTTCGACGATGAGTGGAGCTTTTAGAAGGACTGATGCATTCTATTCTAATGTCTTATCTATCGAACAAGTTTATTGCGCTACTCGAGTCAACACATAACATATTTTTCTCCTCCTCCTCCACCTCATCTTCTTCTTTCATCTTTCTTTGACCGCCAACAGCATCGATAAATATCCGAGCGACGTCTTGCCGATCTGCAAAAAGCGAACGAAGCAGAGAAAAGCAAATGGAACGACGACGTATATATATTATATTATTATACGTACGATCGCGAACAGTCTGAAGGACAGCACGCAGAATTTTCCGGCCGTCACCTGGAGCGGACGCTGCGCCCTTTCCATGATCAGCTGCACGCTCCTGGCGTCCCTCTTGTCCAGCGCCCACCAGCGGCACTCGTACACGGCCACCAGTAGATCGCTATTCTGCAGTTTAATTTTTTTTTTTCATTTTTTTGCATGCAAATGATACATCGGTTGCGTACATATAAAAATATAACAATAGCCCCGCGCCCCGAGATAAGGCAAATAAAAGAACTACATACTATATGTGGAATTTACGATTTGTTATATACGCACTCTGTCGTTGAGCTTTTCAGCGACGTAACAATAGATGTACAAATCGCCCGTCATGTAGGCTATAAACAAAATCATAAATGTCACCTGGAGGTACGGCAACTCGAGCGATACGTTCGTAATTATCTGCAACCGACAACGGCAACAATTTTTATTACGAAAAATAACGTCAATATTATAATGTATATGGGCTATATCGCGTAAACTGTTCCCCCTTTTTTTCATTTGATTTTTCATATTTTATTCTGCTTCCCAAGGGTTAATATGAAAAAATTATTTAAACGTGATTTTTTATGTAAAATTTGATGAGGAATTCAAATTTGATGTCAAAAATCATATTCATAACCTTCAAATACCTTAATTTCCAAAAATAAGCCTCAGAGCCAAAAATAAACATGTTCATATCCAGCGATATGGCCCATACTGTAATATGTTCATCTTTACATGCAAATGAAACTTCTGATACATTTTGATCATCGACAGACAAACATACTTGCGATATATTAGATTTTGAGCCTTTTGATTCCAACGGATGGAGCCTTGTAAACTTGCAAGTGGAAAAAAACATTTTATTTTATAAAATGACATAGCTTCGTACTCACGCAACGTAATATTAAAATCAATGAAGACTTGATTAGTTCATGAAAAGAGTCAGTATTCATTGCGGCAAGAAAATAAAAATGAAAGGCTTCCAAAAATTAAATATTTTTTGCCAAATGTGCGCAAAATAATGCCGTGACGCTAATGCCTTTAAACGCCACACGACATCCGAGTCGCATCATCGGAGAATGATGCTATTTCGCGAGCAAGCAAAGTTTTATTTAAATCAGTTTTCTGAAGAATTTGCTCGGGCTTTTTTGGAAATTGTAAAAAGGTAGTTTGGCACGAAAAAAGTGTCAGCAAATCGGGTATATCAAGACTACATCTATTCGTCGGCGTAAGACGTAAATATATAGAGATCAAATTAATTTCTATCACTTGCGGATTCTTCATGCTCCATCTGTTGATAAAATCAAAAAGCTCGCGATCGAATTGGAATCGTATAAGTCTCAGAGCCCACTGACATATAAGATATTTATTAATAACTTGCGAAATTCGGTATGTGGGCTATATCGCGTCAACTGTCCCCCCTTCTTTTTTATTTGATTTTTCATATCTTATTCACCCTTGACATGATTTTTTCATGTTTAAATAATTTTTTCATAATCACCCTTGGGAAGCAGAATAAAATATGAAAAATCAAATGAAAAAGAGGGGGGGACAGTTGACTCGATACAGCCCATATATATGTCTCACGCTGATCAATAGATAGCCTTGCAGGCAGAATTGAAAAATGCACACGGTTATTTGCAGGAGAAACAGCTGGTTGAAGGTGTTCTCGATTGTCTCCGTGAACCTTGAGCACATAGAGTCGAGAGAGACGTATGCAAATTAGTTTATAGATAATCGTCGATGAGGGCTATTAAAAATTTTTCGTAAGACAACTTATTGAGCTCGTTGTGTCGCGCGACGATCTTTCTCATCTCCCGCGACCAATCCTCTCGACCGACCTCGAGCCGGCAAAAGTCCTCGGTCAGCTGCTGGAACTGTCCGCAGAGATGCATCACGAGCACGGCGAAGAAGCCGTCGATCGTCGCGTAGGCCGTGGTGGCGAGGAACGTAGTGACGCCCTGGAGGAACCAGAGCGTCTCGAACCAGGGCGAGAGCATCCAGGCCGCGGGGAAGTGCGACTCCATGAGGAAGCTCTGCTCCTGCTTGCGCGACATCACCACGAGGCGAAGGACGAGAAAAATGGCGGAGGTCGAGTAGGCGACGCCGATGCAGAGGATGGCGATCCGACGGCCCGATCGGGCGTTCAAGAGCATTTGAAGGATTCGATCGGGTTGGCGGGTTACGGATCGCTGCCAGTCTGCGTAGATCTGGTCGAGTAGATCACTCAGAGCTGTGAATCATGTACGCGTAATTTCTTTTACTCATCCGCGGGGAAATGCCCGTGCGTACTTACCCTCGGAATTATACCGCATGGCGACGATCTTCATGCAAGCCACGGCAATGGGTAGGACTGCGGTCGAGAGGATGTCGATGATCAGATCGAGATCGCCTTCCGCGAAGTACAATTTGGTCGTTTGCGGAATCAGAATGATGTTTAGACACAGCATCAGTACGAAGTAAAATCGGAAATCCGAAAAAATCTTGTGAATCTTCGAGTGTTCCGAATCATTGTACGGCCAGACGCCCAAAAAATTGAGGAAGGGACGACTGAATCCGATGGCGAATTCGGCGTTCGACCAGGGGTCGTCACTGGACATGTTCAGAGAAATGCAGCGTATACGAGGCGAAGAGAAAAAAGTAAGACGCAGTTGTGTGGACGTAAACAGCCGAGAGAGGATAAGTTTTACTGCGCAGTTTCGAGAGAGAAAGAGAGGCAATACTTCCAATGAATAATTGATCGAGAGACCGAAGCGAATCATCAATTATATCATAACATAAGTCCATGTTTAGCATTATTACGATCGCTTGGCTCTGCGGTCAGTTTTCTGCTGCTGCTGCTTGACTAAAACGACAAATTATTCATAAAAACGCTTCCGTCCGTCCGTCGACGACGACGTCTCTCTCTCTCTCTTTCTCTCTCCGGAGGAATTGCAGATCGATTGTGAATAATAATTTCCTAAAATTACGCAACGAGAGCCCGGCGCTTCGACCGACCGCAAGTGCGAAATAACGTGTAAAATAGAAAGCGATTCACGCGCACAGCGCAAAAAAAAAGTAAAAAAAATTACACCGACATAATCTCAAGAGAACGAGAGAGAAGTAGTGTTTGCATTGAAAGTAGTAAGTATTATTATGGTGGTCAAAATTCATTCCCATTACAATATTATTATGCATGCGATCCCGCAGAAGAGATGTGTATGTATAAAAACATACACACAAGTGCGGCTGATCTGCGCGGCAACAAAGAATCGTACTTGTACACTTTCATCGAGTGCGATGGCGAGTATACATCGAGCGCGCCCTTAATGAAGAGAAAGTTTTCCCCAGCTCCGACGTTTTTCGGATGTAGTGGCTTAAAACGCCGATGATCGCCTCGGAGCGACGCACGATCGGATGGACGATTACGCAGCTTGCCAGCAGCGGTATATAAGGCCCAGAAAAAAAGCACCAAAACGTCGTCGCGTGTGTACTCGCGAAAAGAGATGATTTCATCTGCGATTGCAGCTTTTATGGAGGCGGAGATTTGAAGAAAAAAAAATTACTACTTCGGTAGCGCGGCTTTTTCGATTGATACTTATAGCCTAAATTTATTGCACTACTCGTATGTATGATACGCGAAAGGCTTTTTTGCCCCCGAGTTGTAGCCCACGCGACGTTTACGACGAGTTATTACGACGATCATATGTACGGATCGAGCTCGTTGAACCTTTTCGCAGAGAGCCCCGCGAGCGCCAAGTAGTGTACTCGGAGAAACATTTTTATTTGTGAGTGTGTTTATGTATACACAGCGCGAGCTTTTATTGCAAACTGCTTCCGTTTGCGAGCGGCTAAACATTCAACAAATATGTATGCATCGTTAAACGTTACAACGTTTTTTATAATCGATGAAAGGGGACGATAATGCGCTCGTTTCAATTGGCGAATACAGCTTTGAAGAAATATGATTTACTTTAATATATACATGCGTCTTTAATTTCGCGTATACATCAAACTATGTTTATAAGTGGTTGATATTTACGCGGAGGTAATTAAATTATAATAATATTTTTATGGAACGAATCGTGTATATAGTAAGCGCTGTACACAGATTTTCAGTTTTATACAGCATTTTTTTATTATTATTTTATACATTTTATACATGGTATACAATGTCGGCAGATGCAGCTTCGAGATATGCTCGCGCGCGCCGCGCACGATTATTACATTATACTATATTATATTGGCCACACACGCGTCGCGCGACGTCGCGCAGTAGAGCGAGAGATTTTCATCTCTCCGGACGAGTTTTTCCATATTATAAATAAATTAGCGATGCGGAGAGTGCGCGCGGGACGGTATTTTATAATTTTAGTTATGCGCTCGTATAAAAGTCGCGCGCGACTCGAATCACCGACCGCTATATAATAATATGATCGTAGTCGTATCTCAGGAAAGCATCGTGTACGAGCGAAAATTGATGGTTTACATATGGTATGGAAAAATCTCGCGAGATACGCGACGAATTAATTAGACGACGAGGAGATGCCGGAGTGCACCTGGTTGGCGGCCATCTCGGCGGCGGCCGCCGTCATCTCGACGTTTATCTTGTCCAGCAGCTCGTCCATGTCGTCGGTCTGGGGCAGGCCGCAGAGCCTGAGGCTCTCCCGGAACAGCCTCTCGGCGTCCTCGTCGCTCTCGGCCTGGGGCGCTGGCTTGGCCGGCTTGCACTCTCTGTACAATACAGGCAAAATTTTAATCGAGTTAAAATAGATCGGGGCTGTGTACTGACCAGAATAGAAGTGCTCAACATTTTGTGGCAACATTTTATAGACTTTCAAGTGAGTCGTGTTCTGACTTATACGATTACGTTTATTTTGCTATTTATTGATTGGTTGGCATAGTTTCTCGCCATCTAGCGTTAAAGGCTCACAGTAGTATTGTCGTATTGAAAACATAGATTAAATTAAATTTTTTCGTATGAATTGAGTAACATTATCGTTAATTTTTGTACTAAGAAATGATTTTAATCGGTAAATGCTGAAGGCGAGGGTTCTCAGCTCATGGAAGTTGTATGGAACAACAGGATTACATTTGCATGCATTCGATTAAATTACTATTTTATACAATTATTTTACGTTGCCACTTGCAGATTCGCAAATAAAGGTACTCGACATCTAGTGGCAGAAGCTAAAAGTAGTATAATCATCGTATTCAAAGCGGTTGAATACTAATCTGATCTTTTTGAAACGTTTAAAATGTTTTTCTTTTCTGGTCGTTTGAAATGCGCTTAATATTTCTAACACAGCTTTCAAAAATCGCAAAACATGTCATATATCAAAACATTTCAAATGGTCATTTTATTCGCCCAGGTCACAGCGGACTACAAATAATATTATACATCGTTTACTCACTCGTAGTAGCAACCCGAGTGATTGAGAGCCTCCTCGTCGATGGCGCAGTGGATTATCGTCTGGGCCGCCTGCTCGGGCGTCTTGAACAGCGGCACGCAGCAGCGGACCAGCATTCGGGCGGCCTTGAACAGCAGCAGGCCGCCCGCGTCCACGAGGCTGCGCCTCAGGTCCTCGGCCACCAGGCCCGGATTCAGCGAGTACGCGATCACCCCCGACAGGCCCAGCTCGCGCAGCTTCCTCTCGAGCGCCCGGGTGAACAGCAGCACCGACAGTTTGCTCTGGGAGTAGGCCTTGGTCGGGTCGTACAGCTTGAAGCCGTTCAGATCGTCGAAGTTCATCTGACCGTCTGTGTGTGGCGTAATACACAAAATCGGTATCGAAACTTGCTAGCTCGAGCGGAAGCTCGTTGAAATGTACTCACATTTGTGCATCATCGAGGAAACGTTGACGATGCGACAGGTGATGTTGTTGTTTTTCCTCAGTCTCGGCAGTAGCAGCATCGTGAGAAAGAAGTGGCCGAGATAGTTGGTCTGGAAGTGCACCTCGAAGCCGTCCTGAGTCCTTTCTTTGCACGACTGCAGCACCTCGGCGCAGTTGATCAGGGCATTGACGTAGGGGGTCGTGGCCGTCAGCTCGCAGACGAACTCGCGTATGCTCTTGAGGCTGCACAGGTCGAGCATCATCGGGATCAGCTGGCCCGGCCTGCCCTGGTACTGTTTGCTGCTGCGACTGAATGATTGAAAAAGAAGATGAAACAATAATAATTGTAAGTACAAAAGTCATATCATTGTTGAGAAAACTTTATATTCATTGCAGATTCAAAGTAAAATTAGACATTAAAAATGAATTAACCGATTATATTGAATATTATTTAAGGTACTTTTATATGAAATCTTCGTTGAAAATGTATGTATTAGCACTGATTTATTTTCTTACATAAAATGTAATCATACACGTAATTTTTATTGCAATTTTTATTGATTTATTAAAATTCAGATAATGATTTATTTTTTGTATTCATTGATCAACCCACCACTAGATGGCGAATACTTTTTTATCTGTAAATCTGCAAGTGGCAAAGAAAAAATAAAACTGTATAAGTAGAAGCAAAGTTTAAGTGACCTATATTGTATGTATCCAAATACCTCGTATACTCCATCGAGTGAGCTTTAATTATTTCACAACATCGTTACTTACTTTGATGGTGGTTTCGATTTAATATCCTCGATCGCATTCATACATTTTTTCTTGTCTCTGCTTGTAATGATGACTTTGCCACCTTTTCCGGAAAAAAATGTCAATTTTATTATAAAGTACTTAATAGCCAACAAAGCATATTTGATATCGTAATCGCAGTTGAAATGTAAGCTTGACAGAAAAAAAGTTGCTTCAATATGAATTTTTAGCGAAATTCCCTTGAAATTTTCCTTCTAACTACTGTTATTAAACCACTACTTAATGAGTTGAAATTGATATTGGATTGCTATTTCGAAAATTGACTCTGTCATAAATGACGAAATGAGTAACGAACTTCGATTGTTTAAAGACTGATACTTGAGAAGACATGATTTCAACATGCAACTTTGAGCTACAAATAAAATTTCTTGATCGAATCGTGCTCTTTGCAGTGATGATATTAAAAATCTAAATTAACTATTTACTATCAAAACCCACAAGTTTACCAAAAAAAAACGTGTTTTAAACCATATACTATTTTTATATGGTTAAAATAGATATAAATTATTTGAATTTTGAAAAAAACACAAAATAGTTTTATCAAAATAATGAATTGTTCATCCCAATATCAACAGAATTTGATACAGTGACAAATTTAATTTCGTTCCCAATATCACGTTTGTACTACCATTTTATACTTTATCATATTCGATTGAATATTCTCCTTATAATATTGTTTGCAAGTACAATATGATGAAATGTTCGTAGGAATTTCGGCACAGTTTTAACGACATGCAAGTCCCTCTATGTATAGCAGTTGCTGGTAGAGGGGGAACAAGAAACTATCACAATCGCAGGATCACCTAGCTAATACTCGAGTAGTGTGTGAGGATATCGTCACTGGTTTACCAGATAAATTTCGTGTTTACAAATTGGTGAATTCGAGGTAAAGCGTTAGCTACTCGATACGCTTAACCTCTAATATTTTCTCGAAGAAGATCGTGAAAATCCAGAGTGAAAATACATACGATAAAGCGAGTAATGGAAATTAACGAAGACACAGATAGGTATAACTATTTTTCTGCATACCTATGATATCTTTTAAGCGATTGATCAAACTTGATAATTTTCCAGCGTGAAGGAAGAGCCAAAAAATATTTGGCCAGACGCAAGTGACGATAATGATTTCGATCCGGTGGATCCGTGCAAAGTCGAAAACTTTGAAACATTCACGATCCATGAATCATCCGTGAGTTCAATCATTTCATTTATGCGCTAATTTTCCACCGTCAAAAACTATTACACAATTTAAATTTTAGACAAAAATCATGGATGAGGTTATGTCGTAAAAAATATTCTTTGATTTTGAGTGCAAAGATGTTAAGATTGAAGCGAACCCTTCATCGACAGCCGTTTGCAAAACTAAACATCAGAGTTATCCACCTACTGTGAAAATAGAACATCAAATCCAGACAGATGGCACAAATGAAAAAGTAATCATTGATTTTGAGTGCAAAAATTTAAAACCTGAACTGAAGTATCCACGTAAGACCAAGTGGAAAGCTGAGTATCAAAGTTATCCATCTATTGTGAAATTAGAAAACGGATATCATACCAATTACTTTAATGATAAAGTTCAGATAAAAAAAGAATCCGATTACGATCATAACTATCAATCTCAAGAAAAGTCTCTATTAGAGCTTGATACGTCCGAGGAGGTAAGAACATTTGAAAACAAAACACAACCCAAATTATATAATAAGAAGCATAATGATTTGGGTCGTAAGACTTTTAAACAAGAAGAGAGTGTAAAACAAATTAATACGATATACGAATCTCACATCAGATCTCCTATAACGAAGGTACACGATCGTAGCAAACCCTTTGAATGTGAAATATGTCAACATTTATTTATCCGCAAGGTTCACTTCACTCAACACATAAATTCAGTACATAATCATAGCAAACCTTTCGAATGTGATATTTGCCACAAATTATTTGCAGAAAAGGGTAACCTCAATGTTCACATAAATACAGTACATAACCTGATTAAACCCTTTGAATGTGAGATTTGTCACAAATCATTTGGAGAAAAAGGTCACCTAATAACTCACATAAATACAGTACATAATCATAGCAAACCCTTCGAATGTGATGTTTGTCACAAATCATTTGGACAAAAAGTTAACTTAAAAAGGCATTTGAATGCAGTTCATAATCAGATCCAACCCTTTGAATGTGAAATTTGTCACAAAGCATTTGGATGTACGAATGTACTCAAAAGTCACATGAATGCAGTTCATAAACGCAGCAAACCCTTTGAATGTAAGATTTGTCACAAAACATTTGGAAAAAAAGAACATCTTAAAAAGCACCCAAGTACAGTTCATGATCGTTGCGAATCCTTCGAGTGCGGCATTTGACACAAATCATTTGAATACCAGAAGACTCAAAAAATACAGAATCGTGAAAAACCCTTTGAACGTAATGTTTGTCACAGATCATTCACCTATTAAAGTAACCGGGAAACTCACATAATGGAGGTACATAATCAGAGCCGACCCTAAAAGCGTCTTGAAATATTTTAATGCAATGTATTCTTCCAAAATCACACAAGTATGCTACTCAATCTCAGGAAATCGTTCACCTCGTTTATCCTTCATATTTTTAAAGAGTAATAAACGATTAATTTAAAATTGTTACTAATTTTGTCATGATTGTCTATAAAACCTTTTTTTACATTTTTCGCATTCAAACATAAAATACATTTCCAAGGTACCTACCTAGAAGCAAGGATTATTCCCTAAACTTCACATGCTGATTCCTTCAGCTGATTTCAATACACGCAAAAAATTCAACAGCATCGATGGTTGATAAAAAAAGGCTTTACGAGTAGTAAAAATTCAAGCCAGCCCATGCAAAGTATATCGTGTATGTATCGAATGATTGAAAGATATTATTTCGCAATAATAACTTTATCTACCGTCTGTACACTATGGAGTACTATAAATAAATAAATCAACTATAGAAGAAAGCTATTCGGTCGAAAGTGTCCAAATTAATTTTTTTAGGTATTCATATAACCTTGTTTCTTGTACTTTCAAGTAGAGTAATCAATGATAATCAAGAATTTATAATCTTACGATCCAATTAATTGCATAGATTATTTCCAATAGTTTTATTGTCGCATAAATTGCCAGTTGTGTTTTTAATAAGGTCAAAGAAGTTCCATCATATCGGGTATAATATTTTTTATTGTAGTAATTTGTTACGTAACAATAATTTGAATAAAAATAAGCAAGTAGATAATCGTCGGAGAGAAATAACACATACCGATTTTCGCTTGTACTACAATGCGGCTAGTAAAAAATCACACTTTTGTTCGTTTAGAAATTGCAAGAGAAAGAAAGACAAACCTCTCCAGTAGAGATCTCGGGCGGTCTCCTTGCCCATGCCCGCGGTGGCGCCCGTGACGACGAACACCTTGCCCTCGAGACGAGCTATACATTGGCACTTGCTGCTGAATAAGCCCATATTATACGCGAGACCCAACGAACAAACAAAAAAGTAAAGAAAAGAAAATTGCCTCTCTTCAACGAGCTCTTTTCAACGCGCCATGTCGATACGAAGTGTACTTACTACGCGGGGTGTATGAGCAATGTCTATGTATCAATCGCAGTGCACACGCGGTGGCGGCCGTGTGTAATATTACATGTAGAGGTAAATTATTAAAAAAAGCGCGCGCACGCGGCCGATTTCTCGGAGCCGTGTGGGTATAATGGGTAGAGCAGCAGCTAGCAGTCGAGGACGGAACACACGTTCGCGTGTCCAATCGCAGTCGCGCGGTCGATTTATAATTGAAAGATTAACTTTTTATTTCCAATCGCGCGGGAGACGTTCGCGTGTATACATATAAAGCAACCCTCCGCGCGTGCTGCCCGTTCACTCGATACTGCCTTGCATCGCTGCTATTGTTATTATTTACACGGCGTCACCGATTCGGCGCATGCGGTAAAAAATTACAACCAAGGTGTAATATAACACTTTTTATTATCATATCGAAACGAGTACAAGAATAGCTCTTATTGATTACGAAGAGTAGGGTAGTAATTTATATGTACTTTTACAGCTAATACTGGCTTATTTCTCTTTTACCGTGTGTGCGCGTGTATATGCATGCGCGCGCGGGGCCTCTTATAGACGCGTACATAATACACGCGTGTGCGTTATTCATTAACGAACGATCGCTCGGTCGCAGTAGTGATTATATAATACAGTATTTATAAAGTGATATTCGTCGCTTCTTTTCGTTCAGGCCAGCTCCTGGGACTCGATAGCTCTCAGCAGATCCGTCAGCTTTTTCTCCTGCGGCAGCGAGACGAGCTTCAGGCTCTCCATCCACAGTCGCTCGGCGTCCTCGAGGTTGTCGACGTTCGACGCTGGGGCCGACACTCTGCACTCTCTGCACGCGCAAGATGAAAAAAGAAAAATGTGATTTAACCCAAGTACCTTGGAAAACGATTAATTTATGATTAAACTGTCGGGCGCGTCGAGACACATCCCCTGACGCGGCCCTCAATTAGTCTCTTTTCGTTATAACGTCTTGATTCCCCCTGCGCGGACCACCCGAAAGGTCGATTTATCGTTTCGCGGTCGGTAACAATGAGCGCACCGCTCCAGAAAGACAGAGAGAGATGAAAAGCGGTGACAGCCGCCACATAAGCCGCGGAATTATAAAAGAGAGAGACGACTATATACTGACTTGTAGTAGAGGCCGGTCTCCTTGGCGGCCTCCTCGTCGCAGGCGCAGTGTATGCTGGTCTGCGCGCCCAGCTCCGGCGTCTTGATGAACGGCCTCAGCAGCGAGAACAGAAACCGAGTGCCCGGGAAGAATGAATTATCCAGATGCCGGCCGAGCTCCGTGGCAATTACGCCGGGGTGCAGCGAGTAGCTCGTTATGCCCTTGATCTTCGACTCTGTATGGAGTACCAAAGGACACAAAGTATATAATACTTGATACGGGCGCAGATTATACTTTCACTCTGAATAATTTATTTATTTTTTTAATTTACGTACCTTCTAATTTACGAGCTAATTCCTTGGTGAACAGGATGTTGGCCAATTTGCTCTGCTCGTAAGCCCGCAGAGGTGTGTACGACTTGTCCAAATTGATGTCGTCGAAGTACATGCGACCTCCTGCGCGCGTACGTACGTAAGTGTGTAATGCAAAAAAAAAAAAAAGACGCAAATCATTCGACTCGATCTCGTACAGCACAACTCGCATGAATAATTAAACATCTCTCGGATTTATATTCGATGCGTTTTTTATACGATTAGGCAAAAAGAGAGAGAGAGATGCAATGCGTTACGTAACGATGCTGCTGCACTTACGTATGTGGGCCATGGAGGAGACGTTGATGACGCGGCAACCGGGCGCCGAGTCCCTCATTTTCGGGAGCAGCAGCATGGTGAGCAGGAAGTGGCCCAGATGATTGGATTGGAGCTGGAGCTCGTAGCCGTCCTCGGTGCGCTCGTGCGGGCACATCATCACCCCTGCGTTGTTGATGAGCACGTGGATCTTGGCCTCGGAGGCGGCCAGCTTCTTGGCGCACTCGCGCACGCTCTTGAGGCTGCACAGGTTGAGCTTGCAGATCACGAGCTCGCCGGGCTCGCCCTTGAATTGCTCGCGATCGGGTCTGTCGAGACGACGACGACGATTTATTATTGTTACAGTTTTTTTCGTGTTGATCGACTGATTGGCTTATAACGATGAAAAATGAGCGCAGTGGAAAATACTCACTTGGACGGAGGCGTCTTTTTCAGCTCCTCGACGGCCGCCTGCGCCTTTTCTATATTTCTGCAGGCTAAAATGACCCTGGCACCTGCACAAATGAATCATCGTCATCATCATCATCAGCGTCACGATCCGAGGAGCAATTAAATCAGGCATGCCAATTACAAATGATTATATTGAGCGCCGCGATTTCAGCGGAGTCACGGCGATCCGCCGTAATACTACGGTGCCGTAAACCAAAATATATACACGTGCTTGGCCAAAGAGATCGAAACGATTACCGATCTTCGAAGTGTATCATTGAGATCGATGATTATTTAATTTTAATCCGATATGCGAAGGTGTAAAATCAGTGGCTTTAATAGATTGTCATTTAAAGGCAATTAAATTGCTGTTACGAAAAGTCATTTACGATGCGAAAGGGCCGATAAAGTAGAAAACTCGAAGGGCCCTATTTACGCTGCGAATATATCGAGCTAGTGCGTGCGTGGAGCGATCTCGCTCCTACCGACGCATAAATTATGCTCCGTTTGTCACATAAAAACTTTTTTCACTAGTTCTCTCGTGGCGGCGAAAGTTTCGGGTCGGCGTGGATAAAAATGCAAATCAATCCCAGAAATCGAACGGTTCCGATCGTAAACCGATCTCACGAGTTCCGAAATCGGAACGTGTTGTGTACAAACCGCGAATACATAACGAGGAAAAATCGTCGAGTACGCTGCTGATTCGCGCGTGTGTATATAATTATTGGAGGACGCTAAAAAAAAAGGAAAAAAAGAATAAAAAGAAAAACACAGCGAGATTATAGCGTCACGGTGCATGATCCGCGTGTGTCGCCTGTTGTTTTATATAAATCGACGAAGTCTCTTGGTATAAAACAGTCAGCTCTACACATGCATATAAGACAAAGTGTGCCAAAGACACTCGACGTGGACGTAACTGTGAATTCCTAGAAAGTATTTTGTCTATATGTACATATAGACACCCGTTGACACTAGACGCGACGAGTAGCAAGTACAAATGTATATACACTGTGGATGGGTATGTATACATCCTGCTACTGCTGCTGTCTGCAAAGGCTACTGAACTTGGGGAGCAGCGATCGAGGCATGCAGCAGCAGCAAAGTAAAAGGTCAGGGGCGCGAACGCGACTCGGTATATTACGATGAAATGCACACTGTCTGCTGGGCTTTTATAACTATACTCACCTCTCCTGTAGAGATCGCGGGCCGTCTCCTTGCCGATGCCGCTGTTGGCCCCGGTGATGACGATCGTCTTGCCGATGAGCCTGGCCTTACTTTGACAGGTCGCGCTGAACGGCCACATGTTGATTCTATTGTATATACAGTACGTTTAAAGGGAAGAGAATGTGAGCCGCGCGTCACTCGCGTCGGTGGCTTGTATCGACGCTACTATACTGCTAACTGCAACGATTCTATATCTAAAAATACTATACGACGCAGCTAGCTATAATGTACGATATTATTATGGACGCGGTGCGTCGGTGTTGGCTGCGATGCGTCGAGTAACACGCGGCACATCGCACTGAGAGACTATATAATACGATGCTGACTGCGGGGCTCGTGCTCGCCAGGCAGAAGAGTCGTGCGCGCCGATTATATGCCGCACCGCGAGCTATATGGAGAGTAGTGTCCGCCGTTATTATATATATACTTCGGAATGTCAGCTGTGCGCCGAGCTGTCGATATATGGTGCGTATACTTTCCTGTATGTGTATGCTGTAAGTTTAAAAAATGTCCTATACCACTGTGAGAGAGAAATTTTTACTTCACGCGCTGTCAACGATGTATTTAAATGCTATATACGTTAATATAGGAGTGGTATAGCGGAGGCTGCACGGGCCTTTACGAATATTCGATCCGCTGAACCGGTTACGTATCGACCACGGTGTGCTCCGAAACATACGATTGCACCTGCTGGATAAACCAGTTGCTGCGCACGGAGCGGACACATCCTCGTGAATAAAAGCTCAAGGGCTAGGTCCTTTCTTCTTTTTCCCCTTTTTTCCTTCTGTCGGACTGCGAAAGACGCGCTGCGCAGCGATCGACTGCTGCGGTCTCTCGCACGATACTCGATGTTTGCAGTACATGATGCACCGACCGAGTTAAACACAACTTGACTCCACGACAAAACATGAAACATTATATTATAATTGGCATATATATAAGCGAGGAAGCGGCGCAATCGCGGCAGCTCGAGATAAGCTCTCGCTTTAATTCGCCGCGTGCGTTATTTTCCATCGACGCGACGCGACGCACCTGCGAGTGCGATCACTTGCCGGTTGCGAATTTTGACACTTTTATATATAAATATATATATAAAACACGAGATCGAAATCGGCGCGCGGTCCGGAGCGTGCTAGCGGCTACCAAATGGCCCCTCCACGCGCTTCGAACGAATCGAAGCAGTTCTATATATCTGCTCCGCGTGACGCATAGGATAGGTATAGAGAGAGGTGTACTATACGACGACAAAACGAATAATATGTATCTCCGATTCTCCGATGTATGCTACATAAGCATGACGTAGCTGCGAACGAGGCGCCCCGCATTATAACCACTTCTCGGGCTCGCATAGACACGCACACGCACACACACACGCGTGCAAAAGTCGGAGCACGTTTATACACGCGTGTGTGTACGTATACATGCGCGAACGCGAGCGGCTGCTATATTATGTATGTATAACATCGCATGCTCTCTTCGCATCCAGCCGGAATCGCGCGTATCGTTCTAGAAGCTTTTTCGAAGCGTTGCCTACTCTCTCTCGATCAAGACCTATTGAGAGACGACAGATCAGTTCGTGTCGCGGCCAGCTGATATACAGCAGTTCTGAATTTTCCTTCGCCCGCCTATGACAATTGTCATCTCTAACGTATGAGATCTTTAGACCAGTGCATTCACATACAGAGACACGAGTGCAGTCGTGTTTTTATACTTCTACTTGTGCGCGAGTGTCGGTGTGCGATATACATGTGACGTTACGTAGATTGTATACACTGTGACAAGCGCGGCGGCGAAAACACGTGCACACGACTTTTAGCTCGCGCGCGCGCGCGCGCAAGTTGCATCATTTGGAACAACGACGACTGCTGCAGACGAGCTGGCTCGATTCTCGCCTGTGAATCGTCTCGTGTATTTTTTTATTATTTAAAAGGACGATTATGATCAAGTACGCGACTAGGTTGGAGGACAAGTTGGCGCGTTGCGTCGAGCTGCAAAGGCGACTTCGGCTCGGATGCGAATTCTGCACGTCGACCACCGGTACCACTCCTGCTGCTGCTGCTGCTGCTGCTGGCGATGACAGCGGCAACACCGTCAGCGGCTGCAGCGAACCAAAGCCGTTCGAGGACATACCCGGCCCCAAGTCACTGCCGTGGATCGGCACCCTCTACAAGTACATACCCTATATCGGTAAGTAATATAACATAAATATATCAAAAAGCTATAAGTAAAAGATCGATCGTCACACTCGAAGCTTCGATTTCTTCAAGGCGAGTACAGTTTTAAAAAGCTGCACAAAAATGGCATGATGAAGCTGTGCGATTACGGACCGCTGGTCAAGGAGGAAATAGTCCCGGGCGAGCCGATCGTCTGGGTCTATCAGCCCGACGACATCGCCGAGGTGTTCAAGGCCGACTCGGGCCGCCATCCGGAGCGACGCAGCCATCGAGCCCTCTACAAGTATCGCACGGACAGGCGGCACGTCTACAATACCGGCGGCCTGTTACCCACGTGAGTGCAGCGGATAATTAATTAATTACATATACGATTTTCTTTGAACGATCCCGAGTGACGAGTGTCTCGTTTACGTATATAATGCGTAGAAACGGCGACGACTGGTGGAAGCTGAGAAAGGAATTCCAGAAGGATCTGAGCAAGCCGCAGACGGTGCTGCAGTACATCGAGGACACGGACAGCGCCGTCAACGAGTTCTCGAGGGTCTGCGAGAAAAACGACTACGAGGACGCGCTGCCTCTCCTCTCGCGACTCTTTCTCGAGCGTGAGTTGTCTTTATCGATTTCGTTGGATTGTAATTTGATTTTTTTTCTTATTTTCGTAATCACCCCCGCAGTGACGTGCCGAGTCGCCTTCGATCTCAAGGTCAACTGCTTCTCCGACGAGGAGATGAGGCCGGACTCGATGAGCTCGAGGCTGATCAACGCGGCGCTGACGACGAACTCGGTGATACTGACGCTGGACAACGGACCGAGGCTCTGGCGTTACTTCAACACGCCCAAGTACAGAAAATTGATCAAGTCGCAGATGTACATGGAAAGGTATAATAGCGAACGATTCTTTCGATGCTTCTCCGCAAACTTTTATTGTACTACTAATAATATGATACTTGGCTTTACTACTAGTATCGCGGAGAAATTCGTGACGGAGAAGATGGAACGAATGAAGCAGGAAAACCCAGGCGAGAGATCGTCGTTGCTCGAGATATACCTAAAGAATCCGAATTTAGATAAGAAAGACGTGATCGGCATGGCCTGCGACATGCTGCTGGCTGGAATCGATACCGTGAGTAACATTTTGTTTGTCGCGTATTTTGGAGGGCTTATTCAATTGGAGACTTTTTCTGTGTGTTTTCAGACGGCGTATACGTCGGCCTTTTTACTTTATCATCTGGCACAAAATCGCATGGCCCAGGAGAGATTGTACTTCGAGTCGGCGAAACTGATGGAAGCCACCAACAACGTCATCACCGCGGACACTTTGAAGAACGCCGTGTATACCAAAGCTGTGATAAAAGAAACAATGAGACTGAATCCGATTTCCGTGGGCGTTGGACGAATCCTGCAAACCGATCTCGTTCTCAACGGTTACCTGGTTAAAAAAGGAGTGAGTATACATACGTTGCCCGAACGTTTTCGGAATTTCAAACTAATTCAAGCGATTTGTTGACTCGATGTAGACGAACGTAGTGACCCAGAACCAAGTGTCGTGTCGATTGTCCGACTTCTTCGAGTCCCCGAACGACTTCGTGCCCGAGAGATGGCTGAGAGATCGAAACGCGACCGGACAAGCCAAGATACATCCGTATCTGGTGCTGCCTTTTGGACACGGGCCTAGATCTTGTATCGCTCGAAGACTCGCCGAGCAGCACATGCAAATACTTTTGCTGCGAGTAAGCACGACTCTACTAATTCACTGCTTTTAGCGGAGATGTGGGGCAGCTCGTTTAAAATGACTTATTTATTTATTATGTTTCAGACGTGTAAAAACTTGAAATTCGAGTGGCTGGGTGATCATAATTTAGATGTAGATTCGCTGCTTATCAATAAGCCAAGCAGTGCGATCAATTTACTTTTTCATCGACGTTTGTGAGGTGAAAATAAAATAAGCCGTAATATTGTTCCTTAAAAATCATCATCTGTAATATCTCGAATAAATGTTATTACAATATTTTATGTATTATAATAATTAAAAATAATTATTAACTTCGTTCTTAAACTTAAGTTTGTTTGTTTTTTTTTCATTCAAAATTTTAATTGTAAGCCATGTACTTGGGTGTGGCCGAGAACTTGGCGTAAGATTTGATAACTTTAGTAACTGCCTCGAGGAAGTCTTTCTCGGTGGCGACCTTGCGCCTAGCCCTGATGGCAAACATACCAGCTTCTGTACAAACCGAATGAATTTCCGCGCCCGTGCTATTCGGGCAGAGACGGGCGAGCAGCTCGAAACGAATGTCGCGTTCGATGCTCATCGGGCGCGCGTGAATCTTGAAAATATGTGTACGACCTTCCAGGTCTGGCAAACCGAATTCGATTTTACGATCTAAACGTCCGGGTCTCATTAGAGCCGGGTCAAGAGTGTCTGGACGATTCGTTGCCATAAGAACTTTAATGTTTCCTCGTGGATCGAATCTGAGAAAAATTCAATAACATTAATTGATGAGTTATGCATTGAAAAGATAAACACTTTCAAAGTGTTTCAAATGCTTACCCATCTAGCTGATTAATTAATTCAAGCATAGTTCTTTGTACTTCATTATCACCACCAGCACCGTCGTCAAACCTAGCCCCACCAATAGCATCAATTTCATCAAAGAAAATAAGGCAAGCTTTTTTACTTCTTGCCATTTCAAAAAGTTCTCTCACCATCCTTGCACCCTGTTTACAATTGATAAATAGATAATACGTTGAAATATGAATTTTTGGGAAGATTGTAAAATTTGATACACACCTCTCCAACATACTTTTGAACTAACTCTGAACCAATTACACGAATAAAGCAGGCATCTGTTCTATTAGCAACTGCTCTTGCACAAAGAGTTTTACCAGTGCCAGGAGGACCGAATAACAACACTCCTTTTGGTGGCTCAATACCCAAATTAACAAACTTTTCTGGCTGTAATATGAATTTAAAGTTATAGAATTGAGGAATAAAGTAAATCAAATTTGTTTCAAATCAATCTCAACTTACGTGAAGTAAAGGAGTTTCTACAACTTCTCTCAACTTTTCAATTTGCTCCTTGCAACCTCCAACATCACTATACGTAACGTCAGGCTTTTCTTCTACCTGCATCATTGTTACAGTGGGATCGATTTTGGGAGGTAGAGGTATATGAATTTGATACTTGTTGCGATCCACACCAACTCTCATACCTTCTTCAATATCTGTAGGGGCGACAGAGTCTGCCAGATCAACCACAAATTTGGCAAACTGTTTGACATTAATAATATACTTGGGATCATCAGTGTCAGCATTGATGATTTTTGTACACCGAGCAACTTGTAAAGGTTGCTCATTTTGTAGGGTCTGCTTATCCGCAGCTAAATCCCACAGAGCAGGAGGCGCAAGACCTGTGTCAGATTCTTTAATACCAGTGAGCTCGTTAACCTGCTTGATAATGGTTTGAATATCTTCTTCAACAGCTTTAATGGGCTTTGTGTATTGCCCTTGCCCCTGTATAATAATAACAAAGAAGTTACAATTATTTATCACAGACTAGCAAAAGTATTGCGTTATTGTCAAAAATATTTCAAAAACTCACGTATGTTTTAAGTAAAGCTATATCACCTTCGTCGAGAGCTGTGAAATAAAAAAAAACAATAAAGCCAGTTATTTCGTGATGATGCGAGATGTGTCACGTCAATAATAAGTTCAATCGCAACAAGCCCTTACGTTTGATTTCTTTTTCTTCTTTCTCCTCCTCGTTCTTAACTTTACGCATATCATCCCCGAGATGGTCTGGCATCTTGATGAGATTTTATTTTTCGTTCAATTGAAAATATTGACGGAGAAAATTCAAGATGCACTTGGAGCGAAACAGTCAAATATTTAGGCAGCACGCAAGGTTATGTTTACGACGAGAGGCGATTACTAGCGAAAAACTCGAATCCAACCCGTGAACACGCAGAAGTTACCAAGACAAGCTTCGTCTGCTTACTTGCGAATTTCGTGCGAGAAACGGTCGCGAAAGATGTAATGTAGATAGCGCGTCGCGTCGGATACTCGCTGAAAAAATTATTAAAATCGATTTCTTTATCATTGATAGAATAATGAAATTATTTTGGAATAGGTCGGTCCTTATGATAAAGAAGTCTTTTCTTTTTATCAAGAAATCAAAACTGCCAAATTGTTTTTTTTAAATGCGTAGAAGCGCTACCGACATCGAATTTTTACGAATGGAAAAGTTTTCACGGTCGCGATTAAAACCGAAAAAAAAAAATAATAAGAATGTCAGCTTCTCTGTTATTTACGCAGGCTGCAACTGCGCGCGTACGGCTAATGAATGTGAATCTGACTTGATATCTACCGAGATATCTCGCCTCTATATATTTTATTAGTAAATAGAGAGCGGCTCGTTCAAGCGGTTGTCAATGCTTTTTGAGCCGCGAAGGACACCTTCAAACTCTTCAAGGCCTCGGCCGCTCCGGTCAACGGTCATAATTGTTCGCGAGGTCAGTGACCCGTCACGTGCATAATATTCGCTGTAAAGGCATTTATTTATATCATCTCTGGTATGAACGTCTGAAACAATTTTTTAAATTACTCCACCTAGTAAAAAATATCAATTCGATGTGTTTACGTGCGTGAGATACGACTTTGTTGGTTAGATGTTTCTTTATCTCGTGTGCTGGCGGCGGCATTATATCGTGAGCCTCGAATTGAACCGCTTCTTCGGGCTTGTGCGCAGCACGTGTATAAGTATTACTATATATATTATTTTTCGACGGCTGCGCCATCTCCCAACCATTGGATTTTACACAACCTCGGAGCGGCAGTAGTACAACGCGCTTCATCGAGCTCAAAGCTGAGCAAGCGCCTGTTGTAAACTGTTATAAAGGTTCGGTTTTTTACGATTAAACAACACGAACTGGGTGCGGATTCGAAATTCAATCTCAAATCTCTCGAGTTCGATCTTCGTTCTATATCGAGTGCAGTGATAGAAAATCCTTTGGTTATCTCTTCAATTTTCACTGAATATCCTTTTTTTTTCGCTTCTGCTTTCACAGAGGTGGAACACTAATATAACCAAAATGGATCAAATGTTACCAAGCCCCGGATTCAGTATACCCAGTATTGGTACACCTCTGCATCAACCAGACGACGATCAGCAAATTTTACCCACTGCCTTGCAACAGCAACAAGATGTACCACAGTTGCAACCTCAACCGAGCACCGATGGCTTGCAGCAATCACAGCAGCAACAACATCAACCGCCACACTTACAAATGTCTTCGATGCAGAGTCCAATGCCAGCCGGCATGATGACACCCCATAAATCTATTTTTGGCATGGGGACTTTTTCAAATAATCCACATGCCATGATGCAGCCACAAACACCGATTGTAAGTATTATTTTATTTGTTATTGCTATTTACCATGAGACAGCTACAGCATTGTATGTACACGCATCAAATTTGTGGCGTAGTAGCATTGGTCTTGTTTACATTTGTTTGCTGCTGTTAAAAGATTGATTTGCATTGGTTTATACAATTTATTTACTTTTTAGCACAGCTTAATGTCACCTATGCTACCATCGTCTATGTCAGGAGTAGCTCCTATGTCACCGATGGGACCTGGATTACATGGACCTATGACACCCATGACACCTGTGACCCCAGCTGATCCTACTACTCTCCCACAGTTACAGTAAGAGTTTTTTTTTAATAAAAATTATATGTAATTTTGCTATTGATTTTAATGCAAATTAAAAATTTCAGGAATATTGTATCTACAGTGAACTTAAGCTGTAAACTAGATTTAAAAAAAATTGCTCTGCATGCTAGAAATGCAGAATATAATCCAAAACGCTTTGCTGCCGTTATCATGAGGATTCGAGAACCCAGAACTACTGCTCTTATTTTCACTAGCGGGAAGATGGTCTGTACAGGAGCTAAAAGTGAAGAAGATTCACGTCTGGCTGCTCGGAAATATGCAAGAATTATTCAAAAATTAGGCTTTCCGGTAAGCATTTTTGTTTTTTTACCTTTCTACTACTAACATTTATCAATATAACAAAATAACTTTTTTTTATTTACAGGCTAAATTTTTAGACTTCAAAATTCAAAATATTGTTGGAAGTTGTGATGTCAAATTTCCTATCAGGTTAGAAGGATTAGTTCTAACACATGGTCAATTCTCCTCATATGAGCCAGAATTATTTCCTGGTCTTATTTACCGTATGGTAAAACCTCGAATTGTGTTACTGATCTTTGTGTCTGGAAAAGTTGTATTAACAGGTACGGAATCTACAGTTTTAAATTGCAAAGGTAGAAGGCTTAGATTGAAAATTGCTGTACAGTAAAAATTGTTATGTTTGCTAAAATAGGTGCTTTGGAGTCACACAATAGTGTTGTCTGTTATAAATCATAGTACTTTTAATTATATTCATTTACAAAAATTATTATTAGTGCAGTAAAAGTATATTAGTAGTCTTATTATATTAGTATATTTTATAACAGAAAACACTAATGTATGACTCCAAAGCACCTATTGTGGTGAACATAGCAAGTTTTATTACAGGCCTTCACTCTGTGTTATAATATTAAATTACAAATAGAATAAAAAATGATAAAAATTTATAAATTATTGCAGGAGCCAAAGTGAGACAAGAAATCTATGAAGCCTTTGATAATATTTATCCAATTTTAAAAAGCTTCAAGAAACAGTGATATTTATTTTTACATGAAAAACTTCAAATAGGTCAGATCTCTCATGAGTTGGATAAAAAGTCGATTATTTTTGAAAACCGATGTGCTCATGTGTGTATATATTTTATACCATTAATAGAAAAAATTTCTAATAGTATTCGTGGAAAAAAATCCACGTTACATCAGCAGCTAACATTGATCGCTCTCATCGGGAGATAAAGGAGAAATTATTAGTAAAATATAAAACATTTAAAAATCGTTTACGATTATTCGTACGATATCATGGCGTTGAATAGTGAATACAACGTTTTGTAAATAGAAGTATTTTTATAAGCTCGCGCTGTAATTATTTTAGACTGTAATTTCATTTTAAACTAGTGTGAACTCGTTATAATTATCATTGTGTACAGAAAATCTATTTGTTTACTAAATAATCAAACAGAAAATTTTTATCATTACGTTTTTTTATAAACAGTAAGTAGATAGTATGAATTATTAATACAACAATTACATTATTTCAATAAAAATTACACTTGTTTTAAAATCTTAAACATCTGTTTTTTATTTTACCGATGATGGTCCATTCCTTATTTTTTTTGGTTATCAAAACTTTCATTGGATTTTAATTTATGATCCGTTAACTACCTTTGTTCAATTAAGTTTTATGCATTGTTGAAACTTGTAATAATTTAATACTTGAGAACTTAGATTGTCTCTCCCAAAGACTTAGCTTATTACTAAAATAAAATTTTTTTTCTCTTATCGAGGTAATAAATACATGATGCTCGATCTTTAATTTAACATGAGGGATTTATCAATGAAAAAATCAAAAATCTCTTTTTTTATTAATTTTTTATAATGACGCATTATATATCTTCCTTCGCCTCCTCCGCGGCGGTTTCGTCGCCGTCGCTGCAAGAGGCTGCAGCTGCTGCTGTCCACTTGTAGCCGCATCAGCAGGCGGCACCCCCGAGCGAGCAGATTCACCATCAGCCGCAGCAGTTGTACTTGAATCTCAATTTGTATCTCCATCATCAGATACCGCACACAGTCAGTACTTATTTATAAATGTCCAATGGTATGTTATTGGACCATTGATTCATTGTTTTAGCTGCAGCATCGCGAAATTACGGAATGTAATTCACGATTTCCGTAGAATATTTTAAACTTTAATATAAGATTGATATTTTTAAATAAAAATAGGTAGGATTTTCTGACGATTTAATGCGTACAATTTATAGTGCCTTGCGAGCGGCAGCAAATCAAGCATGAAATTCGAAGAAAAATTCAAATGATTTTTACGTTCGAATTCAAAAATTGAGTAGAAATTATTTTTTATTGTTTATGACAATGATATTTTAATTATAAAATCAAATAAATTCAATTCAAAAAGAAAAATCGATGTTACAATTTTATTGCGTTTTGCATAAATGTAAATAACCAAAATTAGTATTCGTAAAACTTTGGTTAAAATACAGCATAAAATAAAAAGATATCTGTAAATAGGGTATCTGCATGAAAAAAAATCATTGAAATAATTACGTTATAGTAAAATATACGTATCAAGGAATGTGGGAGTAAAAAAATAAACCATTTTTCGGCTTCTTTCGCTCCCTAGGCACGTAATATACTATTTTTTGATACATCGTTGGAAATAATGCTTATAAATGGAAAATTTAAGGGAAAATTGTTAAATATTAATGTTTGTTTGGTTTACTTGGACTACTTACTCTAGATCCATATGGTCAACTAATTTTCAAAAGTGATTATCGGATTTGCAAATCAAGTACATTGTCACTTTTTCAATCTAAGCACTTTGTATTTTGTATTTATTTCCAGCTGTACACTATTAATTATACAAGTACAAGTAATACTACACTACTGACTACAAAGTACACAAGCGTGATTATTATTAATGTAAGACTAGCACAGATCATTATATAGCATATATATACGGATCTATTGGTCCGATGATCGTTGAATCGAATTGTACATAAGTTGTTGAAATTGAAAACGGAAATTTTAAATAACTTAAATCGTGGGTGTTTGCATCGTAAGAGTTTTTCACACAGGCGCCGCTCAGCCGATAACGGCCCTCATCGGTTTCGAAAAATTTAGTAAATCTGTCTTCCTGATATTTTGCGCACTCTACAAGGAAATCTTCCGATTGCGTGGATTTTCCATCCAGTTCGATTTTAACCAGATACTTGCCGACCGTGAAGGGTTCATCTTTTTCATTTACTTCAACCACGCTTTTGACGGTCAGAAATCCTTCACCTTCCGGCAAGTTGTAGATAACTCGTGAACGCCCCAAATCCTCAACACTGATGTTGGCCGAAAACCAGTCGATCTCTTTGTTGCCGAGCTTGAACTGCGTACATTTCATTGTAGTTTCGTTCCGCCGAGCGCATATGCCGATCAATCCGTTAGCCAATGAAATCAAAGGTGAGTGCACATCTTCGATACGAGTTAAATTTTGTCTTTGACCTGTAAAAAATGTCACACGAATGTTAATAGAATTTTCGAAAAGTGAAACGTGTTTCTTTTTCAATTACCATTTGGCTGAATAAGGGCTACGGCCATCAATTTTTTTCCGATTGAATGGGAACTTGGTGATTCGATAAACAAATAGCCTTTGTCCTTTGACAATGGAACAATAAGAGGCTCGACCAAGACATCTTCGGGGTAAGTGAACAATGTATCTACTGGCGAAACAACTCCTTCAGCGTCGATCGTTGATCTATAAACTTTTCCCATGTCAGCTGACAAAACTTCAAACTCATCTTCTCCTTTGAGATATCTCAGTTTGAAGAATTTCTCATAACCACTATTGCTACCAGCAGAAAAATCTAACCGCTGTCTTTCGTAATCATTTATACTCATAATTAGCCGATCTAGATCTTCCGAAAGTTCGGTTGTTTTCACTTTGCAATTGGAAAAATTGACGATACTGAATCGCAAGTGAGACGTGTCGAAGGACTTGTTATAGAACATAAACGGGGTAAATTTCCTTTCGAACCAACGCACGATTGCTCGATCTTTGCCAAGCGGTTCGATTGCAATGAGATTCGTTAGGATGGTGCCGCCGGATTCGGAGCGCAGCGTGATGTTGCACTTGGTATCTTCCCCGTTAATATAATTATTTTGATATAAAGTACATTCCCTCTTCGTTTCCTCGATGCCCCAGGCACAAAGGGCGTAACAGATGGTGGTATTTTCGACGCCACTTTCACTCAACACTAAATCATTTTCACCCAAGATGCGGAAGGACATTCCGACAGCTAACTTTGTTAAAGGTGAAACTGAACCGACAATGATTGTGCTGCATAGAGCCGCGAAGATGGTGCAAAACGTCCAGAATGTCGACATCGTTGCTGATACTACAATATAATATAATGTACGAGCTGCTCTTGGCTCGTTGCTAGCCAAAACGATACTGAAGTCTTATGCTTTATTCTCGTCTGCATTGTGCATGCGTGTTGGGTTCAAAATTAAAAAGTGAAATTAGTGAGATGCTGCCCAGATGTAGTTGATTGCTTGTGGTTGTATGTTGTTCCAAATGCGAAGAAACTCTCTTTTTTATTTCTCTCTAATCGTTATTCAGAATTTTCCAAAAACTTGTAATAACTAGATCTAAAAAAGCGAGGTAGTTCTAATATAAAAAAAACTATTGAGATGCAGTTATAAAAAAGAGATTTTCTTCGTACGCACCGTCGATGTATACGTGTTGAGTTTAAAGTTAGAAAGTGAAATTAACGAGAAGCTGCTCAAATGAAGTTGCTTGCTTGTAATTGTCCGTACGCACTTTCACACAACTTATCCGGACGTTCCGGAGTAGTGTGGCTCTTGGACTATACCCAAGAGATATCCAAGACCGTTGCGACGTATGCCTCTCGTGGACTTCCCGAGTACATGCACTTCTCTTGGACTAACCAGAGAAATCATAATCGCAAAGAAAGTTAGATCGTTGAGGTCAGTAAAGTTAGCACCAAGAAGTTAGCATTATTCGTCTTCTTACTTTTGCCCGTCTCCCTCACCTACGCTTCTCGCATCGGCCGCTAGGTGGCCACGTCGCGGAAAGCCGCTCTGCACAAGTGATTTGTCCCCGCATAAGTTGTCTGGATCCGTGCAAATGTATCTAAGCAGCAGCATCTCGCCGGCCGAGCAGATCCTGATATAATATTTTTTCTGCTGCCGCTCCACCGGGATCGATTTTTCGAGCTCTTGCGGTCGCGATCGAACTGGCTGCAAATAAGTTGATCGCCTTTGGTCTGGACACAGATGCCGATGATGCCGTACCGTTGAGTAGGCTACGTGTTATCGTAAGGACCGAGCGAGGGTCCCACATAACTTCAAAGCTGCCAAGAAGTAGCAGCATGCCGTCTGATTTTATGATGAAAGCCTTAAACTAATACATAGGGTTTCGTAGTGGTGTTGATGAGCAGGTAAATCTCATGAAATTTTAATATTTTGCCATTTAAAAAAAAATTTTTTTTTCAAAGCACACTCGTAAAATTTTTTTTGGGGACTTACAACTGATTCAGAAACCTGAAAAAAATAGTGCCCATAAAATTTGGGTGAGGGCCTTCGAGGATTTAAAAAAGTACATGTTAAAGCTGAAGCTGATGAACCATATTTTATACCATATTGATGGACAATATTTGCTCCTAAATTTGGTTAAAATTTTAATTTTTTGACATTTAAAAAAAACCACATAGCGTCATCTTTTCCAAAATGTCGAAAACTAAAATGGGCAATATAAATTGCGCCATTCAAAGTAAAACTGTTGATGTGCATCGCAAAATTCGATTAAAATGCACTCAAAATCAACAATGGGCGCAGTCAAAGCCCATGTTTATATCGTATATAACTTTTTTACAAAACACGCACATAAAAAATAAGACATACCACTCGATTCTGCTACTCAAAAACTACTTTTCCCCATAATTTGGTGATGATTCATGGTGGGGCCTATTAAGATATTGGAATTATATATAAATATCATTAAAATACTAAAAATAGAGTTGAATTTTTCTGAAGAGAGTAGAAGGCGCGGGTAACGACGCACACCCGTCAGTGACATTTTTTTCGAAAGTATAGTTTCTAGAGATTGTTTGATGATGATTTGGATAAAAAAGCTCGATGGACCTATTGGGAATCTGAATTTGAAAATTAAAAATAGGATGCGTTGAATTTCAAAACGCATAGAAAACGACGTAAAATGCATTTTTTTATTAGAATTCAAGTTAGGATTCCGCCGGAAGTTGTTCTCATGAAAAGAAAAAGTTAAAAACTTAACATAAACAATCCGAGGAATGGTAATTTTTAGGTTTTTATACGAACATTGTGGGGTTAACACAAATATTAAAATTTCACGAGATTTACTCATATATTAAGATAAGATTCGAGTTAATGTCGATTTAGCAGTAGTATTTGAACGCGACACTAAAAATTACTGAAAAAAATTGACTGTTTGAACGTGTACCAGTACCACAGTAATTTTTCTATTGAAATCTAACATACAACATCACAAAGTACTCTTTTGAACGAGAAATCTAGAAAAAAAAAGACCTGCCTACGATTTTTTTAACGCCCTGTAGGTCGATTTGTGTACGCAAAATGCCCAGAAAATCGTCTTGATTTCAGCTGAACGAGGGATTTACGTACTTTCAATGGTATCAATATCAGAGTAATTTTTTTATTGAAATCTAACATACACCACCACAAAGCACTCATTTCAACGAATAATTTAAAAAAAATCGAGCTCTCTACGATTTTTTAACGCCCTGTAGTACGATTTGTGTACGCAAAATACCCAGAAAATAGTCTTGATTTTAGCTAAACGGGGGATTTAACGTACTTAAAATGGTATCTTCAAAACGACCTACAGGGCGTTAAAAAAATCGTAGAGAGGTCTTTTTTTTTAATTACTCGTTGAAAAGAGTACATTGAGATGGTGTATGTTAGATTTCGATAGAAAAATTACTGTGGTACTGGTACACGTTCAAACAGTCAATTTTTTTCAGTAATTTTTAGTGACGCGCTCAAATACTACTTGTAACTCGACATTAACTCGAATCTTATCTTAATATGTGTGGATTTAAAGAGGACAAAATTCTCAAGAAATTAAAAAAAAAGCGTCTCGATGCGATAAATCTAGCCCAAGATAGAAGCATTTGAAAATCGACAAAATTTCGATAATATTTTTTGTTGCGATAATTTTGTTGCCGAGTGTACTTACAAGGAGACCACCCCAGCTCCGGGTCATGGATTTGTTCCAAAATTTTTGGGGTCTCCTGGTGCCCAATACTGTGGCTCCCTGTGCTTAGTTTGATCTCATGGGCCTTAGGGCCCATTTTTAGAGGATTTTACACATTATAAAAAAATCATTGTTATTTTCTATACCTGCAGAGAAGTACTCAAACGAAAAAATGCATCGAACAAAAGTTTTAAAACTTTTCAAAGAATCTGCTTGAGTTTTTTTTCAAATTTGACGCGTTTTTTGTAGATTTTAGGACTTCTTAAGAGAGTGGTAGATGGTCCCAAAAATTCTGAAAAATTTAAGCAGATTCTTTGAAAAATTTTAAAACTTTTATTCGTTGCATTTTTTCATTTACTTTTATATCGGTATAGAAAATAAGAAAGATTTTTTTATAATGTGGAAAATCCTCTAAAAAATAAGGCCTAAGGCCTAAGGCCCATGATATCAAACTAAGCACATGGAGCTTTGGAGATATTGGGTACCAGGAGACCTCAAAAATTTTTCGGAACAAATCCATGGCCCGGAGGTGGGGTGGTCCACTTGTTAGTGCACCGAATAGGCCACCCGGGTGTACAAAGTATCGCCCGGGTGCTCAAAATACAGACCGAAAATCGAGCCATAATCCAATCGATTCGAGCTCGATTACAGCTCGATTTCGGGCTGGATTTCCAGCAAAAATCCAGCCATTCATTTTTAACAGGGGCAGTTACGCGCGCGCGTTTGAAAAAAAATAAAATCAGTAGAATTTCGCAACGCTAATAAATATTACGTATAATATTACAAGAGTACTATACAATGATCTACCACGCTTATGAATGTAAGTACGGCGTGCGAGAAAGCAACTAGATATAACCCCCTGACGCATTAATATTTCTTTAAAGATTTCAAAAATGTATCACATAATTACGTTTCGATTTATAATACTTTCTAACGTTACAACATTCGCTGATTTATTTTTAGCGAGTAATCAACTTATACGTGCTTCACAACAAGGGAGGGTAAAAACGTAAAGAAATGACCGATTTATAGATACTTTATCAACAAACTCGATACAATCGTTCATAGGTATACAAGAAGGTATAATTGGTATATATAATTGGTAGCATGTAAATCATCAAAATTAAAGTACAAGATTTTTTTATGAAAAAATAAATTTTTATTTAATAAGTTTTAACTAACATGAGTGTTTATTCAATCAATTCAAAAGGCTTAACTGATGAGATCTCCTCAATGTTGAGTTTTTCTTTGGCTAGGAACAATGCATTGGAAGTTGCATTGGATAGAGCTTGACAAAGATCATCTTCTGTTATTTCTTCATAAGCTTTTTCATCTAATGATAGAAAAATTTTGTTTAGATATTTTGTTTAATTCATATAACTAATAATGTTCAATTTATTTACTTACTTCTAATATTTATGTGACCAAAACATTCACAGGCAGCTATCAACAAATTTTCAGTATCTTTTACACCATAACAAGATTCCCTTGCCCAAATGTATGTGCGAATATCGTTGAATACTTGGTTTGTAGCATTTGTCTTTGCTCTTGTTATATAGATATTATATGGAATCTCATTAGTTTTCAATATTAAAACTATTTTGTACAAATAAGAAGTATATCTTTTGAAATCCTGATCAAAAGATGATAGCTGTATGCAAAATCCTTTGGCTGGAAAATTTTCTAGTATATACAAACAGCCAGTAAAATATTGTAATTCCTAGAACACATTCAATAAGTAAAATAAATTCTACAGACATTGGCATTTCATGAATAGTTTTCATTTGATACTTACAATGTGTTCTAATAACATTCGACTATTCAAGTAATAAAGATGCCAGTGTAAATGATTGACAGAAGCATTCGCACATAAACTGTTGAACAATACTTTCAAGTTTCTGTAATAATGAAAATTTATGAAATATTTTTAAAAATGATAAATGAATAATCAATCAAAATATTTACTCTGTTTTGCTAAGTAAGATGATATCTAAAGATTTCTTAATACTGTACAGAGTCACATGCTGTGGATGTTCATGAAATCTTTCTGTTATTATTAAGCTGTGACTCCATAGGATAGGGCTAACGTTGACAATTATAACGTCACTTCCATCTCCATTGCCAATGTCAAAAAGTATCTCTTTGTTGGATATTTTAGTGAAATTAAATTTATTTCCATCGAATGGTTGATTTATTGACATGATTTCCTCGGGTTTTCGCCTTTTGATTGCTCTATTCGTGTTCAACTTTAATTTAAAAAAATTCTTGATTCACTTTTTGCCTTAATCGATGATTTAAAGTTCTTTTTATCGGTGTACTTTACCTCGAGCATAAAGCCGTACTTCCCCTCGAGTTGTTTACTCTTTTGCGATCTCACCGAGTAGCGCAGTATGTTTTCATCGTCTTCGATTTGCTTCCACCTATCTTTGAGGCACTGATCGAAAAAAGACTCTTCGTTTTTACCAGTAGTTTGAACATTGAAATCTCTCTCCGAGTAGAAAAACCTCGTATTCCAATTGTCGTCCATTTAGTTATTGCTTTTTAGTCAATTTAACCTTAAAAATTGTTTATGCTGTCGATTAAACAAGTATCAAGACTTCAATCGGACGAAACTAATAGATTCAGTCCAAAAGTAGACTTCACATGGATAACTGACAGACGAATGTAAACAAACGAGAGTCCTGTGTTATCATTCCAAAAGCGGAGTAGCAAGCGATCCTTGCATCGTCGAATCGCAAGTGGTCAAGCGTGTGCGCATGTACACTGTCTTTCTGCAACGAGTCGCACCGCACACGGCACACGTCACGTATCGGCCGCGCAAAATACAGATATAGCAGACCATAAATTGTTGGGAATCGCAGCAGTCGGCGTGCGGCGTATACGACGATTACCTATATATCTATATACACGCGCAGAAAAAGAAAATAATTCGAGTGAATTTGATTCACCAGTCGCACCACGTATGTGTGTAGTGTGTACACAGCATAGGTTGAAAACACGCCCAATGCGAAATGTCTCAGTGGAGCGGAGCGACTGACAGACACACCGTAATCGGCACGATAGTGTCGTCGTCGTAATATTGTGCACGCGAATCGTGAAAAGTTGCAGGCGCGAGTGAAAGGACTTTAACCTGCGTCGCGAGCTACCGCGGTGTTTTCTCCTTTCGCGGGGGGGACAAGAGAAAAAAAAAGAAATCTGATTGCGATTGTTGATTTCTCGAATGTTGTTGCAACAACGCACACAGCCGTGAGCGCGCTTGTGTGGGTGTGCGCGTGTTGTGCGTGTGGGTGAATTGCTTTATCGCTGCGTCGATTATACAGCACCCGCGAGAGGTTGCGAGGTGCGCGATAATTACGATCAACGGGGTGTACGGATGAACGATGCGATTGTCGTCGACAATTACGAGAGTCGAGAATTCTTTTCTTATCGATGGTCAAAAGAACGATGTTCGTGCGCGATCCCTGCGGTATCGTTTGCATCGCTGTGACGTACATCGCCGTTTTTTATGCAGACTACGTCGTCGTCAGGTGGATCATACTCCACACGATGCAAGAGAGGTAAACACCTATACCTACGTATACCACGCTTGTTTACCATTCGTACACATTGACAGACTATATTGTAAAATTCATTTTCAGTCTATGGGGTGCATTCCATGCTGTCACCTTTAACACGGTGATTCTGTTGCTCACCCTGGCTCACTTGAAAGCTGTGTGCAGTGATCCCGGAGTCGTTCCATTGCCCCAAACGAGAATGGACTTTTCTGACATTCATACAGGAAGCTCTGGAGGAGACGAGAGCGATGAGCGGGATGACTGGACTGTATGCACGAGGTGCGAAACTTACAGGCCACCCAGAGCTCATCACTGCAGAATTTGCAAGAGGTGCATCAGACGAATGGATCATCATTGTCCATGGTAATTTATTTTATTGAGTATACCTATTATTAATCTATCTGTTCTACTAAAGTGTTTAACTGAATGTTATAGGATAAATAATTGTGTTGGAGAAAGGAATCAAAAGTATTTCTTACAATTCTTAGTATATGTAGGTGCTTTGTCTTTATATGCAATATGTTTGGTTCTTATGTCTTGGATGTTCGATTGTCCAAACTGCAGTAATGATATTACCATTAAACAAACTCGTTTGTGAGTATTTAATTTATATACTTATAAAAAAGATTCACTAAAGAAGTACCAATGTACTATAACAAAATTATCCTCTTTTCAGTTTACATTGTGGGATATTAGTCCTAGAGTCAGTTTTATTTGGAATGTTTGTGATAGCAATTTTGGTATACCAATTTCAAGCTATTTTTGAAGATGAAACAGCCATTGATAAAATACAAGGAAATCGAAGTCATACTAAACGTAAAAGTGCATTTAAATTATTGGCGCAAGTATGTGGTAAAAGTCATCCTTTGTTGTGGCTGCTTCCTTGCCAGAGAACACCAAAATATTTCTACAGAAAAGAAGATCCTCTGCTTGATCATCAAGTTTAATCAACTCTATAGAATTTTTAATTTGTTATTTTTTTTTTATACATTCAGTTTTAAAATATTCCCAATGATGTTTACCACTAAGTATTTTATTAGAACATTACAGATTAAATCAAAAAGTTGAGTTTATGTGTAAAGAATTAAATTAATTTATAGATTACTTTTATACTATATTAAAAAAAACAGTATTACCAATAGATCACCATGAAAGAAATATTTTCTTTGAACTACTAAAAAAATAAGAAATCAAGAAAGCAGAATCGTATTTCTGATGTAAAAATTGAATGCGCTTTATTCAAGCATTACTATTTTCTTAAATTTTTACCAAAAAATAATGTCAAGACAAATAAGTTGCAAAGCTATTCCATCATATTTTATATATCCTTAAAAACAGAGTTAAAAGTAACTCATTTTCAATTATGAAAATAAAAAAAGCATCTTTTTCAAAGATAAATACTTTTTAATTAAATTTTGTGAACTATTTAAACAATAAAATTAAGAAGAGAAACGCTAGTTAAAATATTTTCAATGTAAAATATAATATGATTCTATTGAATCTGTAACTACAAAAAATCTTGATGAAAATGAAAAACATAACTTTCAATATTGTTTACTATGCATATGACATTCAATGAAGAATAGTTTAGGTTAATGACAATGAAATAATGTGATATTTATCAAACTTTTGTTATTAAGTGTAAATAAACATAATAAAATTACAAGCATGCAGCCATCAAATTAGCTACATTATCAAAATCAATTTTCTCCGTAATATTTTTGGTTTTAATGTTTTCATCTTGATTGGCAATGAAAATAATTCCTTCTCCTTGTTCCTTCCAGCCATACTTTTTGATCCATTGCTTCAATACTGCATCTGCAATGACAAACGTTGATTTTTAAAAAAATTTCATAGCAAAAACTTATAAATTAAAAAAAAAAACAACTTACCATTGACTTCAAGTTTGCCACCTAACAGTTCAATTAACAATGATTTGTGAATGGTTTGGAATGTAATACCAACAACATGGCATACAAACTTCCTGATTGAATCATGGAAGCCAGTGATTTTGTGAATTAATCCAGACATTCTTTCAATTTGATCCCAAGCTCTCTGGAATTCACATTCTTCGAGCATATTTGATAATTGAATTATGCAAGCGATATCTTCGTCTTTCATCTGCAAGTTATCAAACAAAAATATATTTAGTAATTTTCATTTGTTTTTAGGCACTTCAATTTTTACTTTCAAAACAAATACTTACGATTCTCTCGTTCAGCAGACACTTGCACAAAACAAAATCTGTGTGTGGCAGGTTGGTCAAGGCTTTCAAAAGAATCATGCAAGTGATGTCTTTGTCGAACTGAGTTGGGTTGAACTGGAATAGCTTCAATACAGCTAAGTTAGCATCCAGATCGTAGGCATTCTCTTTAACTTGAAGTTCCACATACTCAGTCAAGAAGGGCAGGTTTTCTGGATTGTACCTAACAAATAATATCACGCGGTGAGTTTGACAGAAATTGTTAACATTTTCAAATATAGCCTGTCACATATATAAATAAAAATAAACAAGGTAATCTTCAAAACCCACTTACCTTTCAATTCCCTTCAATTTTTCAGCAAGCTGGGCTTTCATAGCATCAACCATGATTGTTCTTTAATTAATTATACTTTATAGTAAGAATAATAAAATATTTTTTAAACAAAGTCTACCAGACGATGTATACGCAAGAAGATAAAGGTTATACCGTACGCCCGGAGAATTGATGAACGTGTTCTCGTCGGCATTATTTAGCGTCGGCACCTGACCTCTGTTAGACTACTGCAGAACTATATCATCTATAAAATTATCAAAAAAAAAAAAAAAAATACTCGTCGTATATTTTGATCTGCATAAAAGATTCCAATTAGTTAATTAATGATCGCGTATATTGAAATTAAATTTTTACTTTCATACATAGAAATGTTAAACGTGAAAAAAAATTATTTAGTTTTTGAGATTTTGAATTTAGTATATATTTAAAGTTCCAAAGATTGTCGGGTGGCGCTGCGAGTACTAAATTTCTTCCGCTAGATGTATCATGTAACTTTTACAATCTCACAGGCAGGCGGCTGTCTAAAACCCAACTGACGCTGAGCGCAGCACACCACACGTGGTAGAGACAGTACCAAAAAAAAACAACAGTGCCGGCTTAATAATTTTGTTAAAATTCAGTGATTTTACATATCTTACCATGCAGTCCAAGCAGAAAAAATACGAGTGGAATTGGGATAACTCGAAGATTGTTAAACCAGTCGAGGATCAAGACGAGTCGAGCAGTGACGACGAAATAAAGGAAGAAATTTCAGTGAAGAAAAAAAAGTTATCCGCGTCCGAGAGGCGTGAATTCGAGAGAGAAAAGGAGAGGTTGATTCGCGAGAGAGAAGAATTCTTTGCTCGCAATGCTACACCCTCCACAGTTGAACAGTTTGAACGTCTTGTCATAGCAAGGCCAAACAGCTCGATTCTTTGGATACGTTTCATGGCTTATTACGTGGAGAATACCGAATTGGAAAAAGCCAGAGCCACTGCCAAACGAGCTCTGAAAACCATTGCAGCGCGCCAAGAACAGGAGAGGCTGAACGTTGTCTACGCCTGGTTGAATCTCGAGTCAACATTTGGTACTGCAGAATCATTGGAACGTGTATCGGAAGATGCAATTCAAATAAATGATCCCTTCAAAGTGTTTCAGCATCTACTTGCGCTTCACGCAGAAGCTGGAAGGTTTGAAAAATTGAAAGAAACTATAAAACAATGTACTCATAAATTATCTCATAATATGGAAACTGGGCCTGCTTGTGCAGCTGCTTTGTATAAAGTTGGATTGGCAGATGACGCTAGAGAAATTTTAATGAAAACTAAACAAAATGTAGCGCCTTCCAGACATGTAGATTTAGAAATAAAATTTGCCATCTTAGAAGGTAAACACGGACATAGAGAGCAATCTTGTAATCTGTTTGAAAAAATTATATCAGAACATCCTAAAAGAGTTGACATTTGGTCAGTGTATGTTGATTCTCTTGTTAAAAATGGTGACATCAAGAACGCCAGACAGACATTGGCTAGAGTGGCTTCAACATCTTTGCCGCCAAAGAAAATGAAAGTTATTTTGAAAAAATACTTGAACTTTGAAGAGACTCATGGAACTCCAGCCACTATATCAGAAGTGAAGGAGCGTATCATGAAATACGTGGAAGATACTACAAATAAATAAATCAATTATAAACAAATTATCTAGTTGTAAATATATGTACATATACTGTTCTTTTTATGTATTGATAAAAAAAAGAGACATTTGTTCTATTTACATGTATAAGCCATTTTTATTAAATAAAAAGTTACTCTAGTTTCAAATCTTGCCTTTTCATTGATAAAAGTCCAAATTAGTTATTAGGATATATAAGACATTTATATTGAAAGAGGTTCCAAACACATCTATACGGTAAATAAATTAATACTTTTGATACTTGTCAATCAAAACTTCAAAAATGACTCATTGTTTATTGACATACTATTGCATCGACAACAAGTAATCTAAAAAAGTAAGTGTTATACTTGATGTTTGCACATGTACTCATAACAGGTATAAAACTGTACAACTTTTTGGCACCACTGCGTTTTCTTTCATTCTAGACACATACACCCTCTCGATAGCACAAAGTCGTGAACTTGGTATCAAGTTAAGTATCAAAATTTTTGAATTCGCTTGCCGCAGTGGTAAACGGAGTGCGTGAGTCACGTGACTTCCCCTCTCACACTCTGTCTACATTCTCTACTTGTATGTGTGCGTTATTTTCTCGCCGCGCACCGGCTTCATATATATATTGCGAAATAGAAACGGTTCTTGAAGGGGGATCGACGAGTATGTATGGTGTATATATGCGTGCGTGTGTAGTGTGTACCAACGCACGCATACTCGCGCGCACAGAAACACACATACACACGCAGTCACGGAGCGCGATGTTGTATACGAAACGGCGCCCAAACATCGCAAATGAATCCGCCGCTGCTCGGCAGATTGCAGTGTGTACACAATAATAATACACTCACATACACGAGAGCGCACACGATCGCTGCTACGGAGTTGCAAAAAAGGAAAGAAAAAAAATCAGCCGGAAAATTGCATATGTCGCGGTGGTGGTCGTCGTCGTCGTCGCGTCGTTGCATCAATACGCGTCGAATCGAGCTCGATAATTACACCGAGGGGCTATTTTTATTTATCATCGTGTCGTATTCATTACAGCGACGAATGCGTGCGTGTAAGGTATAAGTGCTGTGAGATGTTGTGGTGTTGTGGGAATGCGAGGAGCAGCAACATTCGAAATCGACGCTTTTTTGCGTAGCAGAGTTGCAACGGGGCCGCAGCGGCACGCAGTGCACACACGCAGCACGGTCTCTCGTGTGTCCTCCTCTTCCCCCGAGGAATGATCAAGTTCAAGGTAAAAATAACCGACTTCTTTGCCGTGGCGTTCGTTGTGTTGTGCATCTCGATCTACAAAGGTACATACGCTAATCGTCGCGTATTACGGAGAGTCATCGTTTTGCTTCCTTTTGACGCGCGCCAGGTTATAAGTCTCCGCAGTCGCCGCGTTGTGCGCCGCCGAGTTTTATGCCTCGCTCATGTATATACTCATGTATATACTTTTTTCCTTTGCGTCGTATCGCGACAAGGACAACGTTGTATCGCTGTATAGCCAGCGCATTCCTACGCCGCATCTATATATAACGTGCATACGTATTTTTAATTGCGTATACACTTGCGGTGCATCGCGTTCCGTCAACGATTATCATTCTTTATCGATGGGGCTGTTGTTGTTGTTGTTGTTGCGATTCACCTTAGTTTCATTTGAGCCGGAAACGATGCGTTGCATCGATAATTGACTAAAAAGAAAAAAAATAATGACAACGCGACGTTGAGTGCACGAGAACTACGATGACGCGTTGCATTAACTATTTTTCAAAGGCTAATTTCGTGCCATTTTTGTAGTTATACTGACGACTCGATAGCTGATTGGATGAGACTCCGACGTGTAAATCCAAGAGCACTGCATTATGAATACTTGTGATGAAAGAATATGAAGAGCAGCTGCATAGACAAAGAGGATTTGCCTAGGAGACATGCTTCAGTTAATGATAATGATTCAGATGCAGCTGGGAGCACCAGAACACCTATCGGTGTAAGTTTTAATATTCTAGAATAATTTTTGAGCTTTCCACTTTCTTTTATAAAAAGTTTCCTTACTAATGTAATGATACTTTGCAAATTCCTGAATGAATTGTATAAAGTACAAAATGTTGAACAAATAATGCAAGCATGTATAAATTGAAGTAATCGTATGTCATTACATATGATAACTACAAAGACTATAAGTAGCTATTGTTATTTCCAGGCCAATCAATATGAACAACCTTGGGAACAACAGAAAAAATGCATAGAACAGACTGCAGCTGATATTCCAGATAAAAAGTTGAATAAAACTGGCTTGAAAAGTTTAGAAGAATTTTTTTTGCAACACTCCATAAAACCCTGCCCATTTACATTTCTTACTGCAGTCAAAAATAAGATTTCGTTGAGTGGAAACAGCCAAATTTATCAACCAGTAAATAAACCCAATCAATTTAAGGATAAAGAAAAGATGGATTTAATAAAACCTTTAAAAGTGCCAGATATGAAAATTTCACCTAAAGTTGATTATTCTTCTCGGGAGAGTTTGTTATCTAGTGAGGAGTTTTCAAAAAAAATTGAAGCTATTCAGAAAGATGAAATTGCTATGAAGTCTTCTGACAGGGTGCCTAACAGAAAACTTGAATTTTCTTCTTCCAGTTCTGCATCTATGTTTAATTATGATAATGTGGAGCCCATGAAGGTGCCAGAATTTGTAACAAATAAAAAAAAGGATCTTTCTAGAGATAGTTCGAGAGAAAAAGAAAATCGAACTAAAAAAGCAAAAAAAGATGATCATCCTGATCTATCAGCATGGTCGATGAATCAAAGACATGTATCTAGGAAAGAAATAGCTCATTCGGTAATTAGTAGAAAATTAAAAAATGATCTGGCTGCAACACATGTATCTAAAGATAAAGATGACACTTTGCAAAAAAAATCAAAACTCAAAAATTCATCTTTATCTGCAATAAAAAATGATGATGAAAAGTTTCCCAAAAATTCTAATGCTGTAACAAAAACAAAAAGGGAATATAAAGTCTCAGATTCCAAAAGTGGAACTTCTAATAGTGACTCATTGTATTCAATTGACAAAGGCAAGAAGTTACATGACAAAATTTTAATTCGAGAAGGATACAAAGCTATGATTTCTGTGGTTGATGATCATAAATTTAAGGACGATAGTCAAATTTCCACTGCCAAAACCTCAGATGAATCGAGATTTAAATCACATTCAGAAACAAGAGCATCGAAGCAGCAAAATAAAACAAATTTGAAACCAATTGATATATTATCACGTGACTCCACAAAAAAACTAATTGAAAGGCAAAAATCAAATAAAATTGATTCAAAACATTCCTCAGAAATAAGTGAAGATCTCATCACTGCTGCCACATCAAATAATAGTGCTAAAATAAGTCATACCTCAGAAACTTCAAAATTTAAACATTTTGAAAAATCTCAAATGATCAACAGTCGCAATAATGATGAGTCCAAGTACAGTGAAAATTTGTCTACAACAGTCTCATCTCATCTTAATTCGAGTAATATAGAGACTAAAATTTCTCATGATTCTTCGCTATCGGACAAACTCATGGATCCTACCAGGATATCTTTCAGAGAAGACAATTATAACTCCAATCAGCCTGAGTTCGCTGGTCTCGTTACTCCAGATGTCAATCTAATGATTCGTTCAAAAAGAAGAAAAGCGTATCAAAGTCGGGAACACGATGGAGAGCGAAATGATTTAAAATCAATTAATACAAAGGCTAGTCAAGAGGCCGAAGATTCTCACTTGGTAAGTTATTAATAATTACATAAAAAAATAATAAAATAAAATTTATACATAGTTAATTCTTGATTTGTGTCACAGTTGCAACTAAAGACCGAAATGAATCTATTAGATTCATTCAACGAATCGTTGCGCCATGCGATCGATGACAGAATACGTCCATCTATTGATCACAAAGAAACCGATACCAAAAAAGTTGAATCTGATTCTAATGAAATTAAAGAAGACAGCAGTAATAAATCCCAAAGACCCAAAGTCGTTGAAGTTCAAACACAGACGGTCAATGATATGGGAACGCAAACCGAAAACACGTCGCTGTCACAAACAAATATCAGCAACAGCTTAATTTATTCTTTCAATGCCAGCGAAATTCCTCATACGTCTATCAACGCTGAGGATCGGTATGAGAGTATGGATCGAGTTGAGGATATGTCTATGCCAAATAGAATGAGGGCAATGTCGGAAATTAGTTTGCACGAAACTACGTCGTCCATAAAAACCGAAACTGGTACGGAGATCAGCATTTCGACGAGAGGTGTCACTTACTCGTTCAACAAACATCTAGATCTCGAGGTATGTTAACAGCTGCGATCGACTTTTTATTATTTTGATTAAAGAAATAATTTAAATTCTTTTCATTCGAAAAATGTCGCGATAAGACAGTATCTCGTCGCACCAAAATAAACATAGGCTGTGATATTTGCAACGGCGATCATTTATCAAGCGCAAAACGTCATACAAGAAAAACCTTTCACCAAAATATTTTTATATTAATTAAATATGACTTTTTTCTGGTTTCATGAATTTCAGATGGCGCAGTTAATTAAAGACGAAAAGCAGCGTTACGATAAAATCGAAATGCTCTTTAAATCGCGCGAAAAGTCCTTGAACGATCGCACCAAGAAGCTGGTCAAGCTGGAAGAGCAGAAACGAGCTCTGAGAGATACTGGCCAGGACAGTCGTGTTAGTTCGGTTAAAAAGAAACAACGTGCGCTGTTGCTCAAACTACAGCAAGAAAAAGATGAGATGAACAGGTGAGATTAGAACAGAGATAAGAGTAATCGTGAGTATGTGAACGATATAGAGAGAGAGGTAAAAAAACGAAGCAATCACATTTTTTTTTCTTATCGTTCACATAGGTTTGTAGAGGCGATGTAGTGTTACGCGTTGTGTTTGAAATAGCAGGCGTGCTTACGTGAAGTGAATTTAAGTTTTAGATTTTAATAGCGCGATGATAATAAAAATGTCGACTTTGCAGGCTGAAAGAACTGCACAAAATCGCTAGTCAAGAGAGAAAGCTCATGTTGCAAAAGCAGCGTGATATGTTCAATCCTGAAATGTCAACTAAAAACATATTGAACAAGCTGAAACGCAGCGCTGACAGTCACTCGCCGAGGAAAATTTCAGGACCCATGAAAGGATACGATATCCGCAGTAACTCATCCATTAGTTCGCTCGTCGATTCCGACAAATCAATGCTAGATCGCTCCAACATCGATTTCAAATTGAATCTGTCGGACGTCGCTTTCAATAAAGATGATTCGGTTCTATCGAAGCTCGATTTGGATCAGTCTTTAAAACACGTAATGATATTTTATTTGATGCATACAATTAATGATTTAAATTATAAAATAATTTGTCTCTTTACAGTGTCTGCAAGGTAACGACAGTATTGATAAAAAGTTATCAAAACTCGAAGCCAGTAAATTACACAAAGAGCTGGCTGCATCTAAAGCAAAGTATGATGCAAAAACACGCAAATTCGAAGAAAAAATGCCGAAAAACGAGCAGTTGAAGCTCAAGTCTCCTCAACACGATTTTGATGCATCGTTAAATCAGAGCGCAACGGCGATTGTTGATCCGTCGAAAAGCAATAATAACCAGGATAATTTCACTCAAGAGGAATCAATTTCGGATCGAAGCAAGTCCCAGTCAGATGCGTTCGTCGAAGATTTTTCTCAGATATGGAAATCACAATTCCCCGGCATTCCACCAGAGGTAAAATTTGAAAATATCTATTAATTGTTAACCATTAAACCTGTTTATAATGATAAAACTATTGTTACAGTCAATAAACTTACTTGACCACTCTGAGTCATTGGAAATTCTCCAAGTTCTTCAAAAAGTGTCATCCAAAAAAGCAGACAAAGAGTGTTTGAAACGAATACATCAGTATCATGCCATACTCGAGGCCAAGCTCAACAAGCGAAAACCGTCCAGGTTGTCGAAAGCTAAATTATCCGAATCTCTCATTCAAAATGAAAATGAACTGCAGCAGAACTCGGATGGATCTTGTCAGTACAGCAAAGGTCCGCGTGATTTTCAGCAACATCAATACTCCGACGAATATCAAAATTCTCTGCTAGAGGAATTAGATTTTAATGATAGTCAAAGCTCGTTGCAAGCCTTGCTGCGCCATTCTAATTTGTTGAAGGAACGCAATCACCAACTATTGCAAGACTTGGTCGACGAGAGAAATCTCGCGAACCCCGACAGTCCGGTACAGTCGCACAGGGACGACGAAGAGCTCGGCAAAATTGGTAACACGTCGGCCAGATCGCAGCTGAGCTTGACCATTTCGCATCAAAGTTCTAACGACAGTGATCGAAGCTACTCGAGATCGGTTGTTATAAGATCGCAGGAAGATCATCATCACCATCATCATCACCAGCAACACTCGGGCTTGAAAACTTCAAAGAAATTAGAACAGTAAGTAGCGCTTGTTATTTATAGAATTCTTATTACATCGCCATTACCTTTAGTACCATAAATAAGTTTGAGCTTGCATTAACTTCGAGGCAATTGCAGCGTGAACTGCAAGAGAGCCGCCGACCCCCCGTCAACCGTACCCAGTGTATATATGTGTATATATTCATAATCACGAACCACCTAACCGACTCGACGCAGACCATGCTAAAAATATACACTTGCTTTGGTCCGTCTGAAAATAGTTTCTATCTTTCTCTTTCTCACTCGACTAATGTAATATACACTTTCGGGAAAAGAGTCCCTTGTAGTTAGCGAGTGGAGCTGCATTATAAAATTCGTGAAGTGAAGAGGTGTGCACGGTATCGATCATTAAAAGCCGGCCCTGTCTACCTTCTTTGCAGGATCTTGAGAGCACGCGAGGCGACTCTGGTATCCCGTCGCAATTGCGTCGACGAGTGGATGGCATGGCATGCTAGACTACGGGACGAGGAGCATCGGGTAGCACGCATGGAACAGGCTGCTTTCAAGCTCGTTTCGGCAACATCTCACGCTTTAAATCACAATGGTAAGTTACGTTTATTGTTTTTTCCTCTTTTTTTTTAATAAAAATGTTTTTAAATTTATTGCCATTTTGGCTCATTCTTCATTAGTACATTATTCGTCGGAATTAAGAGCAGATTTTGATGAAGCGCTTTATTGATATTTGAAAACGAAAAATAAATACGACCTTACTTACATTTTCAATTAACAATTGTTTTTCCGCATTTAACCGCAGATTAACACTCTTTAAGCTTTGTTTGATATAGCTCCTATATTTAAATCTATTTAACAAATTGAGTCCATCGTTTGTTCTATATTTACAGTTCTTTCTGTCGCGTTTTGTATTTATAGTCTTGAGACATTTGACTAAACAGATACTTACACGATTTAAAGTGAGATTCATTCGATAAAATACTTCTTCAAGTTATTGTGCATTGTTTGAGCGTTGAAGATTAATTACCATAAAATCAGCGTGGTACCGCTTATGATATAATATGCTATTTCCTGGATGTTAAAATTAAACTGGTCGTACATCGAAGTTATTTCGCATTCTATTTTGACATCGAATAGCAGACGAATTCCATAAATTCTGACGTCATGTCGTCTGCACTTTTTGACAATTGCACTGCGGTTTATCGTTTTTTAAACCAGTAAAAACAAATGTTATGAAAAAAATGTGCTTTGTCACCATTTCTCGATTATTATCGTGAGCTCGTCACGTTTGTCTTCATAAATAATTTATAGACAGTATTAATAAATGAAAGTATACAATGATGATTTATTTAAAAAGCATAATTATATTTTATTTTTACCTTCGTTCATCAAGAAACCACAATATCATCCGACACAAGCGATGTGGAAGGAAGAATCGAATTGCTCACACAAAAACTGGCCGATCGTCGTGTTGAAATGGCTCGGCTCAAAAAAGAGGCTCGTAAACAAGCTAAGCAAAGGCTGAGGACACTCGAGGCAAATTTGTTGACACAAATAAAGGTGAGTTTTTTTTTATATGAAAATAATTGTATTGAAAAAAATTCTAAATTATTTCAATTTTCAGAAATACGATGTTACCATTCATGAGATGCGCAAAAAATTGGAACAAAAGAAGGTCAAAGATAGCGAAAAATTAGCTATTGAATCCAAAATAGTGGGAGACTTCAAAGTACCTGAAATACCAATTAAAAAAATACAAGAGATTTACAAAAATAGCGATTTACTCAAGTCGAAATCTGACTTGGATGTTATATCGGATAGACTTAACAAAGTCGATGGAGCGAAAGTGAAATCAAGTAGCGACGTATTGAAATTAAAAATTCCACCGCTATACGACGAAGAACGCGAATCTTCAGAAAAATCGTACAAAAGTAAATCTAATTCCGAAGAAGTCTTCACACAAAAAAATATTATTAATGATGTTAGAAGATCATCGTCGCAAAGCAGTAATATTTCTGAGGATATACCCAGCGAAATTCAATCTGTTAAGTCGCAATCGGAATCAATATTAACAGCCAAAACGTCGGAGGCTGCATCTTCACGCGTCTCTGAAATGTCTAAAGATGAAAATAAAGAATCTATAATAGAAGAATTGGTGCCGCTCGACGACTCGTCAATAATATTTTCAAAAAAATTAGATAACATTCACATAAATAATAAGGAATTAAATGATGATATTCATACGTTGGAAAATGATTTCAAAGAACTCACAGAAATGATGTCAAATTTCAGTAAAAAGTCGGATACCAAAAATAAATCAAGCAAGAGCAGAAAATTATCCGTCGCAAGCGATAAGAGCACATTAAAAGACATTTCCGAAGCTTTAACTGCTTCGGGTTCAAACGAAAAAAGTCACACTGACAGTGACCTGCAGCAAAGAATTAAAAAAATAATGAAGGATGTTGTTCCAGAAACAGAAGAGTTGGTGACTTCTATAGAGGAATTGAATAAGAAAGAAAAATCGTTAGAAATTCCTGTCGAACTCGATAATACCATTGCCTCTGAACATATAAATAAGATTCCCGAAAAAAATGCTACCGAGGTACCTTCACAAAAGACTGAGTCTTTGTCTAGCGTTGATGAGTTGATCGAAAGAGCACTTGATACTCCTACCGAAAGTATATCATCTGCGGTAGATGATCAACAAGATAGTATAGTTGAGTCGTTTAGTGGATCTCAGCTTATTCAGCTTAAATTATCCAAATTACCTGGTGATTCAATTTATAGTCATATTGATGACTCAAAATCGGAAAAAATTGATGGTGCTCAAGTAGATCAAGAATCGTTCTCTTCAAAACATGAAAAATCAGGATCAGTTTTAGAGTCCAAAGAAAAATCTGAATTACAAATACAAACGGCTATGGATGAAATTCCTACTGAAATACATACATCAATGACTCAAGAAATCACTGAAAACCAAGTATCCTTTGGTGAAAATGATGAAATCGAAAATAAATCATCAGAAAGTAAAGTTGAATCGTCAGAAAATAAAAGTCCAACGTTGCAGGAACTATGCAATTCAATTAGCGAAAAATTGAGTGATAAAGAAGAAGATGAGGAATCGGATGAACCTCCGAGTAAAAGAGCGTCACCAATAGGTCAAGAAGACAGAGACAGTGAAATCTCTATAGCTAAAAATTCCATTTCAGAGAACAATTGGACTTTATCTGATTCATTTGAGGTTCATGGTTTTAAGGAGCCTAATGATTCTAAACAAGCTCATGAACCAGAGGAAAAATTACCAGAGGTACCTCAACCCAATGAGCAAGTCGAGCAAAAACCAACCGCAGTGACAACTTCATACGTTCCTCAAAATCTCATTAGTGCAATGGACGATTCGCATTATTTCATGCCTAAAGGCGAATCGACCAATATCCACGACACGTTTGTTCTCAAATTAGATGATTCAACCGATACAAGGATAGGAATATGCTCCGCCGAATTTAACGACATTTTGGAGATCATTGAACGTGAAACTAAATTGGATGGCGCTGATTTGATGGCTGAACCTGTGGCTATCATCGATCCTCTGCTTTTATCTATGCAAGCAGATATGCTTAGCCAGGTAATGCCAGCAGCCAATTATATGGAATTTGCTCCGATTCAGACTGCTGTTATCACTGAAGAACCAAGTGTAATTGAAGAGATAGAAGCACAAAAAGAAGCTCAAAACAATGACAGTATTGTAGAAGATTTGTCTAATCACAATTCCTTGAGCGACAAAGATGCTGATTTTCCCCAAATTGAAATCGGAACTAAAATTGAAATCGTTGATGCCATTCAGACGCCTTTGGTAGAAGAAGATGTTATAAGCAAACACGAAGATGCAAAAGATTTCAGTGAAGAGGATCGTAGAAGTTCCGATGGCGAACAATTAGATAATTTGATTGAAGTTGCCGAAGGTCAGCTCGATACATTCGAAAAGATAACAGAAAATAAAAAGAATGAAATAAATTCCACAAATCTTAAAAATCAAATGAATATCACTACGAATCACACACTCGAAGTCATCAAAGACCCCGGTTACGAAGATATATCAGAGGAAAGTTTAGAAGTATCCGATATTTTGGATAAATCTGGTTCAAAAACTAATCAACGTCCGAAAAAGTACAACAACATCCCAGAGAAGTATGTTATCAGATCAAAGTCCGATGAAGTTTTGCGCATACTAGATGAGCTATCTGTTAAGAATCGGGATGCTCAACTAAACGACAAGAACAACGCTTTAAACAAAATTGAAGAAAAGGATGAGGTTGCTAAATCAATTGCACCACCAACGTCGCCCGATAAGACTGAGGAAAGCTTAGCTGTAGATTCGCTCGAGGAAAAAGTAAAGGAGAAACTTATGGAAATCGAGGACAAAAGACAGAGCAGCGATGAGCAACAGAATCAAGAGGATTCGTTAAAAGTTCCTTCCGAGCAAAGTGACTTGGATACACCAACCGGTATTTCTGACATCGATGTTGATTCACCAAGGGATCAAAATGAAAACTCGAGACTTGACATCGATGCTTTGGACGACGATTTGCTAAGTGACAATTCTATTATTAAAAAGAATGAGGCAAAGACTGAATTTCGCACGACGCCTGTTGGCGTCTCATCTGAGAAGGATATAGAGGCAATGATTGACAAGCTAAGAGGTAGGTTCTTTTTTAGATTTATTTAATTCATCTTTGGTTTTTTATTTCTTGTGAAAATTTAACTGCAATTTTAACAGTTTGATGGAATGGATATGCAAGAAAATGTGATGTGTGTGATTTAAAATTTTTAACAACACAGGCTACATTTTTCTCTTACTTTGTCAATTTATGAACTTTTTATCGATGAAAAAATTCTCTTCGCGCGTTACAAAGATAAAAACCCATAATTACGTTATTTCTGTAGAAAAAAGGCAATATTTTAATTTACTTTTTGCAACGTTAGATTGGCTTGTATTTTTGTGGAAAAAATCTCTTGGTAAAGGAAAAAATATTGTTTATTTTGCAGAATAACAAAACTCGAGTTATTTATTCTCACCAAGGTATCTATGCATAAAACCAAATACGAGAATGATATAAATCATTGAGTTGTAACTTTGTAAAAAATAGGTGTCGCATGAACGAGTGTTTTTGTATAATTTTCATTTATCTCCAACTTATCGAATTTTATTTCGTTTGTATACATATGTATGCATTTGCATACGTATAGATATTCTTAATCACAAGAGCTTGAATACTTGTATTACAAGGTCATTATTATAGTATTCCATCTCATTCTGTAATTCCATATACTTCTGATGTATGTTACTGTTTGTAAATTTTTTTATGTATATTATTATGTGTGAATCGTTTGACAATACCTCTGTTAAAAAATTTGACTACTCATTAGAATCACAAAATAGTTTTTCAAATATTATTTAAGTTTACCCACTGAAGTTCCAAAATTCGAATTTTTAAATTTTCAAGACTATTTTATTAATTTGTCGGTAGACCCTGTAGATGTTTTTGACCCTTCAAAATGACTTGAAAGTATTCAATTTCAATCCACCTCCTAGTGAATTTATGAAATGTTTTTAAACACAGTATTCTCTGTTTAAAGTAAGGATCCTCATTGGAAAATCCATTTGTTAAAAATGAACCCTAGCAAGAGCACTGTACTGAACAGTTATTCAAATCCCTGTATAAATCTGTAACATCAGAAACTGAGTGGTTTGCACGTCTACTTGTGCTTTTTCAATTACAAAGTTTGTCGTATTTTTCGCAGCTTCCTTGGATCAACCTGGCTTGGAAGTAGCAGAACTCGAAGCTAAACTGCTGCAGATAGAAAATCTTCAAATTGAGCTTGAGGTATTTCATAATTTCATTTTACTAATTTCATATGCTATTGGAAATAAGTTTAACGATTAAATGTGGTTTTACAGATCAAAAAATTAGAAGCGGAAGAAGTAGAAGTATCGTACTACGTGAGAGAAATTCCTAATAAGCCGCCACCCCCATATACACCTCCTGGTGTAGTTCGAATTTCTGGAACACATGCCTCACCATCGCCACCACCTTTAGTTATACCATCCAACATCGATGAGCTCGTCGCCATAACAGAACGAGCAACTTCTTTTCTTCATGATGCTCGTAAGCGTGGCGAAGATATAAATCAGCTCAGTGCCCCGAGTGAAATTTGTGAATTATTTGGCGATTCAATCAGCGACGAACTGTTCAAGCGGGATCGACGAGTGTACAATAGCTTTCTATTTGATTTGTGTAAAGAATTAGTTGTTGAAATGTACCGTCCCGAGCACGAAACGCCAGGCCCAACGTGGACGAAACCTAGTGTTAAAAGCAAACCAGTTCTGAAACTGCCGAAATCATTAGACGAACTGAATGAGTATGTGGCCAAAGAAGCAGCGACATTATTTGGATTCAAGACCAAGCTCCAGCGAGAAAATATGGTCATGAGATGGAGTAGAAAGAGGAGAGACAGGGTCGACGAGTTATTGGCCAAAGAAGCACAGGCTGAGGAGAAGGAATGGACAAAATTTCATCACGACGAACTGGACGTGAAAAATGAATTAACGAGCACGATTTTCGATTCGTTGATTATGGACACGGTGAGTTGCATTAAGGCAGCCTACGCTAAAAAGTATAAACTTTCGAAAACGTAAAATACGGTTCAAATAGTTTTATGTAAATAGTCAGTAAAATACGATTTTTTATGCGCGATCTGTGTTAGTAACGCGTAGTTTAAAGTATTTGTAACTGATATGCGCGTGAGTGATGCTGATTTACAATATGTATATTTTTGAATAATATGTATTATAAATATAAGCATAGAATGTGTTATTGATTATAAGTGAACGCAAATTCGTGGAGCTCTATAAATTTTAATATGTTATGATGACGTGCGACTATACAAGAGTAACTAAATGAACATCAAATTGTTTGTTGATAAAAAATTTTAGTTTTCCATAAGGAAAGTGAATTTTGAAAATGCAAAATTTGATTATTAATAATATACAATTTTGTTATGTTTTATTATCGTATGTGAGTATGTTAAAAATTAGCACAAGTGCCGATTAAAATAATAAAAATTTAGTTCATATTATATTTGAGATAAAGAAAACGGTAAAATGTACAGTTTTACACGTAGTAATCTGTACGACAGACGAATGTAGATATTTTTAAAATCTATGATTTTGTACTTTAATTATACAAATAATTTCCATATTTACTTGGAAATAAAAGACTTGAAACATAATAAAAGCATTTATCAGGTCTGTCATTTTTTGTCAATTTGTTGAATATCAAACATGATTGTAGTTATTAAATTTCATTTAAAACAATACATATTTCTTGTATGAATTTGAAAGTGTGTGTCAGTGTGTCAACACAATAAATGCATAACTGATTGCCAGTGTACCAGTCAATAATTACAAAACTTAAATTATGGACATTTAACATTAACGCTTATATATTTTTAGACTCGTTCCTACTATTTATTTGTAATCGAGGCATTTTTTTCTTCAAATATTCACTCATGTTTCTCGTTACACAATGTGTAACTTGATTATTTTTGTTAACATAGTTATCATTAGACGATACTCAAGTAAATTAAAATCAAATATTTTGATTTTTGTGTTTCAACTTTCAAGTGGCATTTCGTGATTTAATTTTCTTGTAAGCATTTGAGAGTGAAAAAGTACACAGCCCATTATTGGATGCAGTTAAAATTTTGACCAATTTGCTAGCTATGCAATAGAAATCGTCAATTTGTATCTACTAATAAATGTAACGAACTCGTAAGACTGATATTTGGGGCCATTTCGAATATGTAACGACACACTTTTTGATAAAAAAATTGTTCAAATTGTTGGTTCTGAGATAAAAAACTGTTATAATATTAAATTAAAAAATAGTATTAAATATCGTATATAATTTATTTTTCGTTTCTGTGTATCAATAATTAAATTGACGAACATTTTTTGATTCAAAATAGTTACTGCTCAAAACAATTGGTTATTGTATTATTGTTTTTAACCACGTAATTGTAATTACTTAGCTCAAATATCATATTTTTGGTTGTGATCTAATTAAGTAAAAAATTAACAAGTGGGTGTTGAACTAAAATTTAAAAAAATTTTTTGGTGCATGTCTAGTTATTTTGATTGAATCTTGGTTTTTTAAATAATTCAAGAGTAAGAATGTTTTATTGAAACTTGATGACAAATTTTGTATAAATTTAAAATAGATTACATCGATAATCTACTGAATGTAAAATTTGTACTTAATTAAGCTATATATTTTATTATAGATATTGTGAAAATTATCTAAGTGATTGTCATTGATTTACCTATCACAAGTTTATTTAAAATTTATTATTTACACTAGATCGATGAAATGCAGGTGCAACCTACATTAATTTTGTAAAACTATATCACATATTTTAATGTTTATACAAATCTTCGTTCAGTTTTTCACTGATCATTCTTTGCATAGAATCTTTTGCCGCAACGAAATAGTCAGCTACAAGATTCAACATACTGTACATGTATACTTTAACAGCATCTTGCTGCGTTTCCAATAATGTTGGTTTCAAATTTTTAATCAAGCCGTAATTTTTGATTGCATAGTCTATGTAGAAAGTGCTCCCCGTACTTCTTTTGTATTCTTGCTCAAAAGTCCACATCAACTCCTTGTCGGATCGTAAAATTTCTTTGAAATGTGGAATAATGCTTTCGTACGATTCCATGTATTGTTCAATTGTTGGTTGGTACAATGGTTTTTGTTCTTTCATGTAACTAATTATATCTTCAAAGGTCATGTCTTTAACTTTTTCCAGCACGTCTAACAATTCGCCCTGTAAATTTGTTATATTTCATTGAACCAAATGTATTTCATTCTTTAATTAAAATACTTACGTTAGCGAGTTTTTCCCCAGCATCTTTGACATTTTCAAGTGCATATTCTAACGGTGAAGGTGTTACCCATCCAGGAATCCATGTAGGAGTGGCCAGCGTCAACGTTGTGCCTAAAAGTACTAAAAAGCCGATTTTCAACATGATGTTGTGTTAAGAAGATACTGTCGTTCAGTAATGTTCTAGGTCGAGTGTAAAATGCCGTCTATATTTATATATTTTGAATAATCGAAAGATTATGGCCTTATCTTAATCATTTTCAATCAGAGTAACATGCTATTCAAGCGTGACAACTTGATTGACAAATTCGTTCGGTTTCGGCCCATAATAAACTGAAGTACCTTTTGTGCACGTGAATTAAAAGTGAACTGATTACAAAGAAATGATGTAAGAACGAAATAGTAAAATATTTCAATTTGGAATTTGATCTAAAAAGCGATCGAGGATCAGGAGATTTCGGGTGTGTACGAATATAAATAAGTACAAAAATCGAACAGATTTTTTTAATTTCAAGTCTTCCAACCCCCATTATTTATTTCGACAATGCCTTTTTATATGAAAAAGTACAACATTATCTTCAAAAAAAAAGGGACGATAATAACATCTGCTTGTACGAGTGTCATATTATATCATTAATGATTATTTACTATTTATATTATTTACGTTCAAAAAGAGATGTAAAGAGAGAGAAAGAGACTCAGTATATTATCGAGAACAGTGAACATATTTTTTTTAATAATAAATATCAACAAATAGGTACGGGAAAAAATATTATGCTTAAAAAAAGAAAACAATAATAGGCATATGATGCGACGTAGTTTTAAATATTTAAAATTATTCTACGTACATTCATGTTATTAATCGATATTATATATATTTCTGTGCACATCGTAGATATAGCTAATTTTTCATTTACGAACAAGAGCAAATGAGATAATTTAAAAACGGCGTTACGTTATAGATTTACAGCGGTTATACTCTTTCTCTTTCTGGCAATTAAATTTTAAGAATTTTTCATCAAGTACACAAAACACTTTATTATTATAGAGCGAACTAGAGCAAGCCTTTTTGTACAATTACTCTGTTTCCATAATATGCTCGATGACATGGACGCAGATATCATCAAAGTATTCGAAATGTTAGTATAGCAAAGATCGATCGTATAAATTTACCAAGTTTTGTATTTATTTATTTTTTTTTTCATCGTATATTTTAGACCCTTGCGGTTTTTTTATCGCATGATTGTCATTCTGTACTATTTTTATGTAACATGTTTCAGGAAGAGTTGATAAAAAGTTCGCATTTTACGAATTATTAATGAGCGAGCCCCAAGTAGGTCGAATTAACATAATTTATTTCGTCACATATGTGTGCACGCTGTATGTACATATATGCAAACATTGGCACAAATATATTGTGTGGGGAATGAATTCAATAAGCAACATTAAATCCATACAGCGTTAATTCATTATGAAATGCTTAATACAATCGAAAATTTCTATATTGCTGATTCAAATACTGTTTTCTTTTTTCTTCTTCTCATTATTGACTATATCAGCACCGATACAATTTAACCAATTCAATTAGACGTTCTAGTTATTACGGAAAACATTGCTTATATTGGCCCTGTTGGTCTCTTTTTCTCTCTAAAGTTTAGTTTTTTTTTAGTGATTGTTTGGGTTAACAAATGCGCTGGGGTGCCAAAGTGTTTAATGATTTTAAACTACTTCTATACAGTTGTAGTTGGCACAGATTCATTATTACATCGTATCTTTATAGGTATCAAGCAACGTAATCGACTTCGTTGAATTATGCACATCGATAGATAATCATCAGGTGATATATCGTTAAAAAATTTCCGTGAGCACGAGTTTTTTTTTCTTCTTTTCTCTCCTTTACATTAACCGCAAGACGGTTGAGGTGAATACTTTTGTCCGAATAAGTTTTTGGAAAATAGTTTACGATTTTTATATATTTTGTTTAGATGAACATCACATGACTATTAGAGCGTTTGGAAAAATATCTATTGTTCGCCAATAATTTCATTTTTTTTGTGATCTTTTCGTATCATTGTAATACAATAAAGTGATTACAATCGGTAACGGAGTGCGAAATTGTGCTTCTGTATCCATATTACGATACTCTTTTGTGTTAAAGAATTGTCACAATTAAAATTTTTGAGAAACATTGAAAATATTCCAAGTCGTGTGCAATATAAGTCTATAATTTTTTTATTTTCTTACAGTCGTTTACAATCATTTTTTTAATATTTATTTTTCGATATGTTGAATCTCACTATTAAACTTTCTAAGGAGAGTTTTCTAAAAATTAACCAGTAATGCTAATTTTACAACAGAATTGATGAAGTGAATAAGTACCCTTGCGGGAAAAAAAACTTTCATGATTACCCTTTTGCAGGTATAGAGCGAGAGTACATGAAGGTGGAAAAGCAGGCTGATCGCAATAATTATGTGTCATGAAATTATTGTTATGACTAAATGTAAAAAATTAAGGCTGAAAATTGAGCAAATAAAACGCATTAATGAGAATTACAAATCCACTTTATCTTTCATTAACTTTTAGCTAGCCGTATTTTTCCTTTTAAATTATAAATATCATATAAATGAAAAATAAACTTTTGTACTTTAGCAGTGTAGAGCAGTCGTCTGTATTTCAAAGAAATATATATATTTATACATATACATGTATCCATATATTTTGTAAATAATTTAATTATTTCAAATATTTTATAATTTCATTGATTTATTTAATTCAATCAATATTTCTTTCTTATGAACATCATATGAACGTGTATATGTATAGCTTATTCATTTAAAAAACAATTCCCGTAGAATAATAGATATATGTAGAATATTCAATTTGGAGTGAACCACGTGGCGCTTATTCGTTTGTATTTTTCTATTTCTCTCTCTTACTTCCCTTTATTTTAGCTGTTTTACGTGTATTTAAATATTTGACATACGGAGATATACAGTTTTGTCGTTTATAAGAAACACGAATCTCAATGTTCTCTGTTACGCCTACGATTATGATAAAAAATAATAAATATTTTAACTCTTCTCTTGCAGTGTCCTCGGATTTCAAGTATTAAATCATATATTTATAATATACTATATGTGAAATGACACTTTAGTTAAACTTTTTATTTTAATATGAGTTCACCATATACTTATTGTATATTTTAACGCTTCTTTTTCTATACATATGTATGTATATGTACATCATCGAGATTACATTATATTATATCGGCAATCGTCGCCGAAAGTATATAAGTGAACTTAGTGCCTATATTTATTTATACACAATATATAGAAACAACGTCAAACAAAATAATTTACTTTTTCATTAGTATAATTTTTCTTTCTCACCTTGGAAACCGTGATTAATTTTTTCAATTTCTAGCAGCGGGTGAGGAAGAAAATTCATGTTACACATTTATCAGAGATAAAAGAAAGTACAGTGACCATTCACACAGAGCTGATCGAGTCACTAGCTTCGTAGAATAATTTTTTTTTTGTTTAATTATAAAAATTATAAAATGATAACAAATTTTATTAAACGCGACGTTTTTCCATGACCATATATTTTATTGTCGCTCTACACTGCTGAAAAAATTGTAACGAGTTGAAATAAATTATCGATAGATATATTATTTGAAATGACGATGATGATTATACAAAAACACATTTTTCCTCCAGCAGTGTAAAAATTATACCTTCGACATGCTTAGATAATAAAAATCAATATTGAAACAACATCACATAACAACGAAGCAATATATATTTATATATATTTATAGTATAGTATAAAAATGCTCATATCATAACATTCCATTCCAATAACATTTTTCTTCGTAAAATCTAAGTATGCTTACTTATATATGTTAATAATAAAAAATTAAAAATAAATGATCATATCACCAGGTGTCTTTTAAAAATACAGTTTATTTTTTTGTTATTTCGGCAAAACATTGTTTTTGTTTTTCTATTTCGCTTTATTATACACACGCTATGCATGGGATGTGCGAGACTTTCATACTTCATTATATCATATGCAGTAACGATATAAATAAAAAATACGAATTTAATGACGCTTCAATGTCAATTCCACGATGCGCGACAAAAGTACCATCGATTCTTTTTTTTTTCACGATATTTGACAGCCATAGAGATTTGCATTATTGCAACAATAATGCTGTAACATACGCAGATAGATAAAATAGCACCATAAAATTGGGATCCGTTTCACAAGTACTCACAATAGGAATACGAGAAAACCAATTACAAATCTTTAGAAGATGTTCTAATGATAAATGCAAAATGTAACCTTATTTTGAAAAATGCTTCAAGACCGTCAAACGAAATTGAATAATTATAAACATTATGTTTTAATTCTTTAGAGAATTATTCGCAACTACTCATTTTAAGAAGCAGACCGCTGATAACAGTCATAGTTCATTTAGTTTTAATCATTTAAACTTTCGTTCAATTTATACATTTTCTAATACCAATAATTTATTCACATTTGGCCATTTAGATTAACGCAAAGGTTTAACAATGTTCATGGTTAAGCTCTTAGCCAGGGTAAGACAATTTTTATTACAAAATTTTTTAACAAAAAACTTTGTCTCTCCGACAGACTAAATTTCGCACACATAATTTAAATAATAATTACATTAAGATGCTCTCTTCTAGCTACTGAAGCACATACATTCATGTTTTTATTGACGAAGCGATGAGAGAGATGATTTCGTTGAAAAATAGATTGCTTATATTACATATGTAGTTGCTGTTATTTCACGTTCATGATCAGTAATTTTAGTATATAGCAGAGTTATCCACGTAATTTTACTGAAAAATTATATACGACGAATTTTTGCAGTATCTATCGCGATAAATTGCATACATTTTCTGTGTTTAGTTAAATATATTTCGTTAATGTAATCATTAGCTCGGTATGATATGTTTATTCACAACATGATGTGAGCGCTTTAAATTGAATATTCCTGTTTCAATAGTTTTTTTATAATTCAAATTGCATTAAGCATGGTCGCAAATTATTATAAAATTTAAGTACATTTAAAATCATCGATCGGTGATTATCTTTCAGAATATGATATACTGTAGTTTTTCTTTATATAAACAGGAAAATCAAACGTCGAGGTTGGTATATTTTTTTATTTAGCAAACTTCATCTATCTTTCGTTTTTATTCCGCATAAAACACGCATCATCTATAGAAAAAGCTGAGGAATCACAGATTGGATGATAACAACTTTACCATTAATATTTTCGTCAGTTTTTTTACTTCGTATGAAAAAGGTACGAAACTGAATTTACAAAAAAAGATTTTTTTATACAATTTTTTCAATTTTTTCATAGGAGAGTACAGTTCATCGCAGTTTTAAAAATGAGTAAAGCTTTATAAATTTGACTTTTGATCTTCCCACTCAAGCATTACTGTTAGAGACACATTTGAAATTTCGGTTATTTATAAACATGCACGAGTCTATTGATTATTACATTTAAATAGTAATGTGATCCTAAGAATGAAGATGAAGTTTGAAATTTTGACATTTAACCATTAATTATAAATATATATTAGCGATTATCCTCGCGTTTTATATCATGATATGTAGACGCGGAATCTCTACGCGCTATTCATCTGTCCTATAATTACATACTTTTTGTTTGTTTCGAGGCTACTTTTTTAATTTTCATTTTTAAGTACTTGACTGAATACTAAACGCTTTTTTAATCTCTTGGATCATTTCTTATCTAATAATCTATACTGAATCAATATCATTGTTTATTTTTAAAACTAATTAGATTATTGCACGTAATTGTTTCAGTTGCTTCTACATTATGTAATATTAATTCATGGTAAGCACGAGATGAGATTTTTACCTTCAATTTTTTTTCTTCATTAATCTCCAAAGAAAAGTCAAATTTTCTAATAGAAAATTGTAGGTACTTTGATTGGCATTAGAAAAATTATATGCGTAGCATAAATATTTAGGCATTTATCTCATATTTTGTCAATATCGCAATTTTGATATGCGTTTGACTGTTTACGTTCAACAATTTGTGTATTTAATTATTCATTTTTAGTAACATTTATTATACGTATCCTACACATTCGTTATAGAAATTTTTTGAAAGATCCAAGGTGGGGCTAAAGACGTTTTACTGCGTTACCATTCATAATATGTATAATTATGAAATAAATTTATTTAATGATAAAATCTTAATTTTTCTTGTATCTTTTAAAATTATAATATATTCTTTAAATTTGTTTGCTATTTATAATATTTATAATCTTCATATATATATATTTTCATTCATTTATTTATATTTATTTATATAATATATAATTCAGTGTATATATAAGTATATTATTCACTATTGAGTAATAAAAATAGAGATTGCATAGATAAAGATTTGCATAATGCATGCACCTATTATTTTGTGAAGTGAAGTTTATGAGGTCGGGGAAATGTTATCTGCTGAGTATGGAGACAGCATCGATTCGACAAATTTGACAACTTTTTCGTACTTTGAAAAATGCTGCGATGTCTCTTTACATCAATATATTAATAATAGATATATTTGTTAAATATCATACCTATATTCTGGTTTTTATTCCATTCAAATGCTCTTAGTACGACTTTTCATTATTTTTTTTTTACATCTATATAATATAATATGATGATAATCGTAGTTTTATCTTTCCATTTTATGTAAAATATCTATTGCAAAAATGATTCTATTGTGCATTGGACACATTATTTTCTTTTCTTTGTCTCGGCTTGGATGTAACAGATGATTGTGTGTGTGTTGATTACTGTGCGAGAAAAAAGTATACGAGTAAAATTTACTGAAAATTCGAGATTTATCATTTATTCGTAAAGATCTATTAATTTTTTTTTTGTTCGTTTTCCTTTTTTTTCTTTGGAAGAATCATTATCGTATGACTAGTTTGACTTATCAAGTGTCTTATAAGCAAATCGAGGACTTTTGACAGATAATTTCTTTTGGAATTAATTACCATCAATCGTTCATTTTACGCGGGAATCTTTTTTTTCAATATTTTCTACAATTTTCACAATTTTACTCCTAAATTTTCTCTCTCGTGCAGTTTTCGTAAAGTACTCGCATTTTCACAGTAAATGATTTAATCTCTTAATATCGCATGTTTTTTTGTGGCTTGTGGACGTGCCATTAATTCTAATACAATAAATTTCGAGTTCGACTCGTTTTTTTTCCGATGCGAAGGTAATATATATAACAATTATTTTCGTCGAGATTCTTCAGTTCGTGTAATTAAGATATGCATTGCAAGATTAAATCTTTTTTTCATTTGCATCCGATGTGCGCGCGTGCGAATTAAGGGGGGCGGGGGCCCTGGAAAACAGTAGGAAACTTTGCTGTGTTCTTCGCGTGTAGACTTGTTGTTGTTGTTTTCGGTCTGTATACAAACGTGCATTATATCGGCAAACACTCGGGGGGTGGGCGAGACTCGCCAGCTGTTTGCCTTTGCAGCAGGAAGATCTTCGTAATAATAGTAGTAGTAGTTGTAATAGTAGTATAACAGTACAGTAAGACCCAGGAAGAAAAATTCCGACGACGCCGCAGTCGATGCCGGTTCGTCCCGTCGTTTCTATTATTTTCATTGATGTGGGTTGTTACACAGTCGCGTGTCGCAGGGCGTAAATTGATTATCGACGCATAGGTAGTCATTGCTATAATCGCTGCTCATCCCTGAAAATCAAAAATGAGAAAAGAATTTATTCAAACAGGCGTTTTAATTTAATCATCCCACGGATTATTATTCCGGCAAAGTAGCGCAATAAGTAATTATTCGAGACTTTTGAGAGTAAACCAGAGAGATTATTATCCAGTATAAATACATTTTTCCTTGCGAGTTGTTGAAAAAGAACACTACTTTAATACCGGGGCTCCTGCTCGCAAGCATAGAGGAGAGAGGAAAAAGTCAGATAAAAGAATTTACCCCGGGCAATCTCGGGAGTTAGAAGTCAATGGAAAAGGAAAGTAAAAAAAACAGAGCAGAGAAGAAAGAAAAACTCGGAGATGCTCTATTGCGAGAGGCTAACGAAATGGAAAATCTTTCAATGGCCGTGCACGCGGATGATAATGCGAAGTCGATGGAACTTTTTTTTTGCGAGAGAACTTTGATGTCGCCACTGGGGCGGTTTATTGGGTTGTTTGTGTGTCTCTCTTTATATGCGACACACAAAAAAATGCTCGAGCACAAGGAGAATCGATGAGAAATATCATTTAACCTCTCGCATTAGCTAATGGAAGTTTTATTGAAAAAAATTAACCCGAGACACGCTTTCTAGTGGCGATAAAACGTTGAAATATTCACACATTGACTGTTAATTCCTCTCTGCATCGGAGCTCGCGCAGCATTTCGATGTGGGTCAAAAAGTTTGTCCATTATAAAAGTTGAGTCGAGTCGAGTCTAGAGAGAGAGTAATAAAGTGCTAATTATCCTAGCGCTCAAGGAGAGTTAGATAAACGCGCGCCAAAGCAAAAATATAAAAAAAAACTCGCTTAGCTGCCGTTCACATACGATATACGTACTTCACTGCACGAGATCTTCCTCACATTTGGGAATGTCGAATATCTCGGCGAACAGCGGGGGCATCTTCAGTTTCGTCCAGTTTTTCCGGAACCAGTCGAGGAGGCTGGTGTGCCGCAGACCCAGCGCCTTGAGCTCGGCTATCCTCTGCGAGACGGGCCCGTAAACGCTGCCACCGTTCACGATGCCCGAGTGCGGCGAGTCCAGGGCTTGCTCGAGGCTGGTGCGCGTCGTCTGCAGTCGCAGGCCCTCGAGCAGTCGCTCCTGCAGCCTCTGTATGGCCTTGATGTCGTTGAGGCCCGGGCGCTCGCTCAGCAGCACCGCGCCCGAGAACAGCCCGAGCTCGGCGTCCGACAGCTGGTGGCTGTTGAGCGCTTGCGTGAACTGCATCAAGGCCGTCACGAAGTCCGGCTGCGAAAAGAAACGAGCGCACGTTCGATTAGGGGGCTGTGCAGGGTAAAAAAAGACTCGGTCGGTAAAGCAGAGACGACCTACCTCGTAAATGAGCTCGAGCTGCTGCCTGGTGATGTAGGTGCCGTCCTCGAAGGTCATGGAACTGTCGCTGGTCATCTTGGCGATGTGGCTGAGCCAGACCTCGAAGAAGCCGATCTTGATGAGTATCAGCTGATCGTCTTGCGTGAGCTCGCAGAAGCCCGGCACGCGCTTGGCGAACTCGACGACCCTCTGGACCGAGGGGGTGACGCGCTGGGCGAACTGCTGCCACAGCCAGATCCGCTGCGACTCGACCGTCTCGGCGCTCGACGAGGCCGCCTCCGGGTCCGCCTCCTCCGGGCTCTGCGGCTGCGAAGAAACGAAATAGTCCCCGTTAGTCGGCATTATCAGCTCGTCGGCGCAGACGCGCGAGAACTCCTCCGCCGTGGCCGCGTCCAGGGACGAGGAGGAGGAGTGAAACTGATCTACGTCGACGACGTCGTCTAGAACGCCGCCGCTCGCCTTAGTAGTAGTGGTAGTAGTAGTAGTGCTAGTAGTAGTATTGGTGATGGTAGTAGTATTGTTGGAGATGGGATTGGTTATTACTGGTATGATCATGGGCTTGCGCACGATGCCGCGGGTGCACTCGTCGGTGAAGCCGCAGTGGGCGTGATGGGCCTGCGACACCTGCAGTATGACCTCGTAGACGGCCGCCAGCTGCTTGCTGTCCGCGTCCGACTGGTCGGGCTCGACGATCGTCGTCACTTGTAGTTGTTGCTGCTGCTGTTGCTGCTGCTGTTGTTGAAGAATCGGCTGCTGTTGCTGTTGCTGAACGCGTCCCACTATTCCGTTTTGACTCTGTGGACTGTTCACGCTGCTGATGTTGTTGTTCGGACTGTTGATGTTGTTGTTGATGTTATTGTTGTTTGTCGTTATACTGTTGTTGTTGTTAATGTTGTTGCTGGTAATATTGTTGTTGTTATTGTTGTTGTTGACGACGGTAATCTGTTGTTGCTGCTGCTGTTGTTGCTGCTGTTGCTGTTGAGGCACGACGAGGCCGTTGGAGCAAGTCACGGAGGTGGGCGTCGGCGGACTGCTGCTCGTCGGCGGCGAGCCAGCCGTGCTGCTTCCGCCGCCGCCACCGGTTAAGGTCGTGGTCGGCGTCGTCTCGTCGGGACCGCGCTCCCTCGAGCGCTTCGGTACGCGCCCGTACCGCACGGCTGCAAAAATAATTAGCCTTTTGTTTTACTTTGTTTGTGTTAACTCTTTCTCTCTCTACCTCTCTTTGCAGCGAGTGTAGGCGGCTGAATCAATTTTAATAATAAAGTTTTAATAATAACACTCCGCGAACCCGTCCGACCGACCGACTGGCACAAAGTTTTCATACAAAAGGAAAGATATACGCGCCTTTTTAATTAAACGCGCGGAATTTAATTAACTCAATTTAATCTTGTCATTTTCTCTGATGATTATTCGGCCAGGTGTATTCGTAGGGCAGGGCGAATCTTGTACTTTGCCAGAGTGCATATAATTAACATTGCTCGTATATAGCCCCCCCCCCCCCTCTTCCTTTTTAAACGAAATTATCAAAACACTTGAGGAATGGGTCGCGCGTTCAACTCTATATCAAATCTGTGTGCTGGCGCCGGAATTGGATCATTTTATACATCAACTTTTAACTAATTAAAAAAAAAAGGAAGAAGAGAGAAATCTTGAGAGCATATACACAGAAAAAGTGGAACGATTCGACAAAAGGAGAGAAAAAAGAAAAAGCGGAATTGGCAAAAAATTGCAACGCTTCAAAAGCGGTCGACGCTCCGTACGAAATAGTAACGAGCTCTAGAACAAACACACGTTTTATTATGTGTTTGCTTAAAACACGAGGAAAGAATTCGGGGACAAGAGATGACGAGGAAGAGAAGCAGCCAGTCGCGGAAGAAATTAATCTCTCTCTCTCTCTTTCTCTTGGTTTCTACTATATACTATGCGCTGCACTTTGGGGTCGCGCGCGGAATCTCTCGTGCTTTTTTGATTCAAATTGACACGCGAAAAAGGAGTGCATAAAAAATATAATTTTCGATGCCGCGCGCGACGGCCACGAGAGATAAAATATAACGCAATTTTAAAATGTGTATATAAAAATATTTCGAAATAAAAATTTCAGCATTTTAAACAAGCGAGCGAGTGAGAGAGATATCTATAGTCGTTTCCAGCGCGATTTTGCATTTTTACTACTGCCTATCATATAATTCTATGAATTTTAAATCTCGAAAGCTCTATACTGCCGTCATGGGGAGCGGCGGTGAGATGGCAGCAGCTTTATTCGGAACGCGCAAGCACACACGGCCGCGCGTATACGAAGGAAAAAATTGTCGAAAAAATCAGTTTACCTTTTACATTTTTGCGCGCGCGTTACGTATATATACACCCTCCCGCCGCGGTGCACAGCTGAAATTCCATACACCATACAGCAGAGCAGAAACGTAAACAATGTAACGCGAAGCTCGTCAAAGTTACATAAACATTCGCGCGCGCGCGCCAGGTATGTGGAAATTCAGCAAGGACTACTCGTATATAGCAGCTGTAGAATGGTATACGCATGATATAAAGGTATGCTGTACAGCCCCGCGCTGGTGTACAATACATATCGCGCGGTATTCTCCTCCCTCGAAAACTTCCGACGTTTAATTATACACGCAAGTTCCGCTCGCGTCGGTACACTGTGCAGTGCGCAAGCTCTCGCGGGTTTGCAGAAGCGATATGCTTTCATGGCGAACTTGCGGTGGTTTTCATTGAGTAATATATACGTACGGTATAAGGTACGGTATTATATGCCGCTGCTGCGCAAGAATCTCTCCTGAAACACAGGAGAGAGAGAGAGAGAGAGAGAGAGAGCAGCTTGCGTATAGGATTCGCGCCGAGTTTTGGATTACGATAATGACTCGCGTACAGTTTGCGAATTGTTTTTTGAAAGCTCCAAGATTAGTGGGTGGTGGCGGTAGTAGTAGCTCGGCAGAAGCGAGTACCGTAATGAGTCCGAAATTACGACTCGAATTTACATTTTTCGAGAATAAAGCGAGAAGACGCGATACATATTATTTCCATCTTTTCGGTCGAGCGAACATTTTGGGCCGTGGCAGTACGCGTTTAACTTAGATACTTTAACAGTTCATACAATAATTTTTTTTTTCCTACTAGCATATATTTTATATCAAGTTTCGCGAGTCGAATTTTGTAAGGGAAGCCAGACGTATTTTACGAGCGATGCCAACTTTTCTCAGCCGCGCGCGTCTAATTGAAAAAGTATTCGAAGCAATAAAAGTATTTTTTAAATACAATATATATATACTTACAGTCTCTGGACATGCCGACGGCCAGGCACTTTTTGAAGCGGCAGAACTGGCAACGATTGCGATTCAATCGTATCACCATGCACTTGCTGTCTCTCAAGCACCTGTACTCTATCTGCTTCTGAATGCTGCGCCTGAAGAAGCCCTGCGCAGAAAAGGAATATAGGCATTAATACAAGTGGATCTCTTCGTTATTCAATGGTTTTATATATTACACGTTCGTACAGGTGTATATAAATGCGTCGATCTATATTCACTTTCTCGAGTGCACGAGCGAGAGAGAGACAATTTAAAAGAGGCTCTTTCGTATGTAGAGTAATTTAAAAATAATTCATACGTATGTATGCCGTAGACGCGGGATATTATACCCGGTTCCGCGGGCGGCACAGACGTATCGTAAAAAAGAAGTCAAAGTCATTTCGTACCGGGCGCGCGACAAAAGCGAATCATCCCCCTCTTGCATATAGGAACGAAAAAAAATCCCTTTAGCCAAGAGAGCCTAGAGAGAATTTCGCGCTCGTACGGTAGTATTGTAATGCGCGTACGAGTGCAGCAGTTGAAAAAGTAAAGAAAAAAAAGGTTATATGGAAAACGATAATGGCACACACGAGCGGCGGTAGTAGCAGCAGGCAGAACCGATGGTACGTGGACTGAATATTATCGGGGCACGATCGCGCGAAATTGCCACACGAACGTTCGAAACGCGTGACTACTCCGCGCGCCTCTGTCTGCATTTATATACTATATACGTGTATGTGCATGTGCCGCCGGTACGTCAACGACAAGCAGCCGAGCGCGTACAACGACGATCATCATCATCATCATCATCGCAGTCGTAATCGTCGTGTTTTAAATAGAATAGTATCGTCGTGAAAAAAAATAATATAAAGCAAAGCCTAGATAACCGCTCGCAATCTGCTGCCGGTGCAGCTGAAAAGTAGTAGTAGTAGAGAAGCGCCCCCCGCGACGTCTTCAGCGCAGCAGCCCCATTGTGTATCCTACGCTCAAACTTTTAACTTCTTCTACACTGTGTCTGTGTGCGTCTATGTATATTGTATGCATAATACGATACATTATTAAACTAGTTTGCACTGGAGCTCGTCTCGAAAAAGGGGCGAGCAGAGCGGCGGTATCAAAGGTACAATGCATGATTCAATTTTCTTCGCAACCTAGCCCAAAGAGAGGCAGGCGCGGCGGCAGTACAACTATATAAAAGCTCCGAGGCTGCTGCGCGTAATATAATATGAAGTAGGTCATGTTTGGAAGCTCTCACTCTCTCTCTCTCTCTCTCTCGTCTGTCTTTCTCTTCCAACCCTTCAAGGAAAAACGGACTCATTTATAAATATATGTGTATATAAAAGAAAAAAAGAAGCGAGTGATGCTTGCGCGCGAGCGAGCGTGCACGATATAATAACGTACGTATACAGGTATTTAAGTATTAGTTAACTTTTTTGTTGGCGCAGAAAAAAAGGAAGAAGTTGAAGCTTCAATTTCGCTATACAGAGATAATTTCTTTCTATTTATTACGCGAACCGCTGCGTGCGCGATATATTAGCAAAATAAAATTATTAAATGGCAGCATTGCGTGGACCGAAATTAAAAAGCGCGCAGCAGCTGTGCACGCGCGCGATTCGATAATTAAGTATATTACGCGATAGTAATTTCTTTCTTTTCAAGCGTTAAAAGTAAAGGAAAAAATTCGAACTCTTCGAGAGAAACTTTTGCCAAAGTATAAATGAAAAAAGTCGCGGGCGCGCGTATTTCCTTTCGGGAATAAGGTAGATAAAAAAAATGGGGGAATTTTCCAGATTAGCAAGATTTATACAATTCGCTTTTTATGCAAAGTTCATCAAATAGCTTATTCTTTCTCCTCGTTGGTTAGGCTATTTTCTCCTCTATCTCACTCTCTCTTGGCTAACAAAGAAAAGGCATAGAGGAAAAAAAGGCTCATTAAGCGGTCTTATCTCTTGCACATAAATACAAGCTCGTATAGCCGTAGTGGTAGACGCGTAGCATATAGGCTAGAAGAGGAAAGAAGCAGACAGCGGGGGGAGAGCGCTATGCTCCTCTTCCGTGCTGCCTACTGCTACTATTGCTACTGCTACTGGAGCAGTGCAGCAGCAGCAGCAGCAGCTGTAATCACCCCGGAAATAGGGCGATTATGTGGAAGGAGCTACTGCTGCTGCTGCTGTTGCGCATTCAAAGACTGATAGTTATGAAATTAATCACGTTGGACTTCTTTTTTCATGTAAAAAAATGAAAGAAATATAATAATTATAATAAAGACGATTTCGAATTACGTTTGAAAAGTGGCATAATTATAACCGAGAAATAATTAACAAACGTTTACTGCTATCAACGGATGTTCAGGAATGTATTGGCAGACTCGTACAAGTTGATAATTGCAATGTTAAAAAAATAATGAATTGAATGCAGATTTAATGAAAAATAAGACATTATTCGAGTTACTTTTACATGAAATCTCCCTTGAAAATTCGTTTGTAAGAATTAATTAATTTTTTTACATAAACTGCGATTGCTTTAATGAAAAATTGAAAAAAGAAGGATTTGATTTTTTATTGAAATTTAAACATTTTTATTGAAAATGAATGCTTTTACACTGATTTAGTTTTTACGTTAAACGTGATCAGAAAGAACTGAGCGAGTGACAAGTAAAACTGCTTATCACAACTGAAGTCGGTCTTCACCGATAGATGGCGAGGAACTTTATCTGTAAATCTGCAAATGATAAAGTAAATATAATTTTATAAGCATAGCACGGTTTTAAGAATTGACTCATTTTCCTCTTACCTAAACGTATTTATCTGTACTACTTTATCTGTAAATCTGTAAGTGATAAAGTAAATATAATTTTATATAAGTAAAGCACGGTTTTACGAATTGACTCATTTTCCTCGCCCCATACCAGTTCAAAAATCCAATTTCGTGCGTTGAATTGAAAAGATGCTCATCTAGAATTATCCACAGCAGCCGAATTATATGAATTTCTCTGCCCAGAGAAAAGAAACGAAGTTAACCGCAGCGAGGGAATAAATGAAACGATATCATAATTAGGCGCTTAATTAACTTCTTTTTCCCTGCGAGTGCACAGGCAAAGAGAGAAGAAAGAGACAGAGAATATTAGTTTAATATTTTTAGGGCATACGTACACACGGTACGAGTGAAACATATGGAGATCTCGCAGAGATACTCCATCGATTTTCGGGCCGAAAAAGCACGCGAGAGAGAAAATTTACACTCGCTGCACGTGTGCTGCTTTATATCTATACACCATATATATCGAACATTTTTGTGCACCCTGGACACGTTGCGCTGCCTCCTTCACTTATTTTTCCTTTTTTTTTGGCGCACAGAGCTTCACGCGGGCAATTTTCCGCATTCGAAAATGTTCGAGCACTCGATCTAAATTACGATTGTTTATTCGGGGCAAAATTCGCTCGTCAAGGATTTACACGTCGAAGGCGCGCGCGCGAGAGCTCAGAAATTACATATCTCGTCCTGATTTATCCAAACGACTGAGTGCGCGCTGCAGCTTCAATTTTCGTCGCTTCGTGTATATAACCTATCCGTTAATCCGTCGTATATGGTATAACATAAATCCATTATTACGTAACGAAAACTTCTCCATATCTCCTCGGGAGGACGCGACGACGACGACGACGACGACGACATTTGTCTTGCTCCGCGCACGAAACGCGCCGATGCGCTCGCACACACACACATATATTTAATCCCCGAGCAATTTCACGGAGTTGGTATACGTACGGAAAATTAGGTCACCGATAAGCCAAATATTATTCCATCCTCCTCCGCGCCCGGGTTCTGTATAGCACGCGGAGCTTTAAGATATTCCGAAGCCAGCCAGCCAGCTTGCGCTTATTATCGAATCTACGTCGTCGTCGCCGGGGGGATGATTAATCGCTGAATTCAACCGAAAAGAGTAAAAAAAAAATTGAATCCAACCGATGCGTGTGTATCGAGGAAAAAATTATGACGCAACTGATACGTAAAGAGGATTGATTATAAACTGGATGAAAAATGCTGCAAAGTGCGTCAATAATGTATACGTAGAAACGAGCGAGCTTTTCTCTCTATCTCTCTCTCTCTCTCTCTCTCTGCATATAGCATAATAATAAGCTGCTTCACAATTATAACTCGCGGATGAATTAATTTACACATTTCGTTCGTACACGTGTATAATGCACGCGATTGCTCGCGCGCGCGCCCAGCGGCGTATAATTATTATCCACGCGCTCTATTTATAAAACTCAACAATTTATTTTCAAATTTAATACTAATATTACTCGAGCTATAAATAATGCAGATCGCGAGCTTTATGCACACGCGTCGTATGTATGCGCGACTACACTGCACAATAACGCGATGTTCGATAAATCGATACGCATATAATACGTAGTGTACGTGGCGTCGTCATCTCGACATTTTTCAAACCTTTTCTGTGCTTCTTCTTTTTTTTTTTTTAATTGCTATCGTCGTTTTTGTTTAAGCGCGGGAGGAGGGGAGGACCTATTTCACGAATAAACAGAGGCGCGCATCGTAGCTCTCTTTCTCGTCGGAGCATTAAAATTGCTCCGCAGCGCGTGCCCTGTAATTTCACGCTTCGATTGGGGGCCGCTCGCTCGCTCTCTCTTTTTTCGCTGAGCCAAGAGCCAAGAGTCAAGCCGAGCTTCGTTTCCGTATGGATATATTCGCGCGCGCCAAGTGAAGAAAAACTACGTTCAGTCAGACGCGCGAGCTTATAAGTGCACTTTTTTTCTTTATTTTTTTTTCGTTGATATTTATATCGTTATTACATTCGACGTTGAGGGGTCTGCCGCATTACTACTTGACGATAGCGATATATCCATTTGGACGGACGTATGATATCAAAAATTTGACAAGGACGAGAGCTTCGCGAGTATAAAAGCTCTCTCTCTCTCTCTCTCTTTCTCTCTCTCGCTCTCTGGGAAAATGATTCAAAGCGAGTTCGAGATTGGCAGCTTTATGGCTCGACGACGAGCTCTTCTTCGTCGTCGTAGTCGTCGTCGTCGTCGTCGGTGGTAGGGGGGCGTTACGTTGAAACATCCGTGTAGCTATACGCAAGGTGCACTATACTCCAGCGGAGAATTTATTGGACGATCGACTTTTAGCGCGGCATTAACTCGATTTTACGACGAGGTACTGTGTGTCTGTCTGCCACGAATGTAAGACGTATATAATTACAAAATTATTACTACGAAACGACGAAGAGTCGTCAAGGCAGAGACAGACGCGCAAAGCTACGTCGAGAAAATCCGCGTCGAAAAGTATAAAAAAGGAACGATTCGAGAACACGAGACTAATTTCGGCCGCACGAAATAAAAACAATTAATGGAATCATTTGGTACTTTATTATCGCTCTGTGCTTTTTTCTCGCTCGACGAATGACTTTTCTCAAGTGCTCGAGCTTTTTACGCATGCATAATAATATCGAGAAGCTCGCCTAGATGCGAGCGCGGGTAATTTACATCGTGCGCGTAGCCACATTATAGATTGGATTTTTCACTCGCGCGACTCGTCGTCGTAAAACATATCCTATATAATATGTGCGTGGAAGAAGAAGAAAACTTGTCGTGTGCATACGTGTGAGGGCTCAGAGTCTTTCGTGCTCGTGTATACATACTCGGTGCGAGACTAGAGAGATGAAGAACCGTTAAGAACGTCTGCGCCTCGAGGCTTCCGCGTTTCTCGCACTCGCGCACACACATATATAGACTTTTGCTCTTTCTCTCTTCTTCTTCTTCTTCTTCATCTTCTTCTCGCGAGTTGTATTATATAGGTATATGTATATTAGAAGCTGCGAATGCTTATACCCGATGCTTTCGTTTTTTTCCAGTGCACATATTCCTCCCTTTCCGCTCGCGAAATCCTCTTATTTAGTTTGTATATAATTATAAGTGGGATTATGTGCTACTATACTTGAGAAGGATCTCTCTCCTCTCTGTGCGACTTAATTGGTCGTAGACACGGGCGAGATAGAGAATCGGCTCCCGAGGAGGAAATTGGCGTATAAGTTCGAATGTTTGCTCTAGGCCTCGTTAAGCCGCCGGCGGTAGTAATTTGAAGCTTAAAAACACACCGCTATGGATATATTATCGTATTGCATTCGAATACCCATTGGTTGGCGAACGAAATCGTTAATTAATAACGTCTATATAATCGCTTGCGCGCGAACGACTTCACAGATCATCATCGTTATTTAATACTCCCCCCGTTCGTTTCGAAGCGCATAAATAACGCCACTCTCTCGACTGCGCCACCAGCAGCCCCCGCAGCATCACTACTGCTTGGTCAGTGAACCTTTGCTTTTGTACAGAGAAGGACGCGGATTTTCTCGCTGCGATCTAATCGATGCTGTTAAGTAAATTGAATTTGCAAATACATTCGGTTTATATATCTGTACACGAAGTATATTGAAACATATATTTTCATCCTCCTCCCCTTCTTCTTTCTGTTTTTCTTTTTCAAGTCGTAAACACGAGAGCGGAGCAGAGATACATCGAGGATTTATGACGTAATTTGCTCTAGGGCCTATTATCTCCGTTTGGAAAGAAACAGTTTTTAAATTGAAAATCTGTTTTCAAAGACGCTTACGTGTGCAAGCTATGTATGCGTTCTTTGGTTTTATAAATCTAGATAATTTTTATTGAATTTATCTATGTAGAAATTCTCGAATCAACTATTTATGAAACTAGCTTTGACTTATACAATTATTTTGACTTTGCCGCTTGCGGATTTAAAGAAAAAGGTAAACTCGCCATCTAGTGGGGGAGATTCAAAGTGATATTATCGTATCGAAGTGGTTGAAAACTAGTCAAAACTTTTTGAAACGATTAAATTGTAATTTCAGGTCTCTTAAATAGCGCGTAACATAATTGTAATAGAAAAATCGTCAAAAATGAGTCGACTAATGATCGAGAAATTTAAAATATTATAAAATGCTCATCTTTCGACATTAGGCCATCACTAACGTTGAGCACTTCTAGCAGAGATAATGTGATTCATTCAATTTTTCTCCAGATCGTCTTGTATAACTAAGGCAGTTAATCTTTCATAAAATCGCACTGATCATTGTCACAGTTTCGTCGGTCGTAATTTCAATTTTAATAAAGCTTAAAAAAAAAATGTCATCGGTATTCCATGGCAGAATTCTTCATCGAGCACGTTTTCCAAGAGCCTCTATAAAAAATTCCGATTTCAAGTAACCTCTGCACTTATAAATTAAACTCGTGTCTATTTCATAATCGATTGTTCGGCGCGTACATCGACAAAAAAAAAGAAGAATCCCGCGAACCAATTTTTCAGTACATACGATCGAAATTCAATCACGATGCCGGCACGAAACACTTGTCTAAACAATTCGCGTCGTGCGCGCGTTGATAAACCCTCTTATCGTTTCTTGCGCGCGCACACGAGCGAGCACGACGGCGCGATATAGGTTGTTGTTTTTTCTTTTTTTTTTATCTCTCGCTGCCGCACGATAATTTCGCCTCTCGAGTCTCCGATCGTAACGTCATCTTTCCGCGGAATGCCAAGTATGTAGTGTTATGTAGGCTGAGGCATCATCATCGTCGTCGTCATCGGGGCAGCAGCTCGTAAATAAAATAATAGGGGGAAAAAAATACTTACTTTACAGCCCTCGCAGCTTGTGACTCCGTAGTGGTAGCCGCTCGCCTTGTCGCCGCAGACTTTGCACGCGACGAAGTTCTTGGCCGGCGTCGAGTCCGCGACCGCGTATTGTTGCTCTGCAAAAGAGAAGATCGCACAAAAGAGCCATTATTATACCAATCGAGTTCATGTATACCATGTCAAAATGTTTAAAATGTTTCTTCATTTTTTTCCGATCGAAATCGGTGAATCTCTCATATATATTTTCTAGACTAGACAAAACATCAATGAGTATAAGGCATATAAAGAGGGATTTTATTGGCTCAATAAACAGCGATAATTCCCAGTTAAAAGGAACGTTTAGTCACGACGCGCGCCATGAGAGAGCGTGTCACAAGCCAAGTCTCTCTCTCTCTCTGTCTCTCGCATGGCGTGTGTTTGTCTACATTTTTTCCCCATAATTTAACGTAAAACGTCGTTTCACGTCACCCACAGAAGAGTTGGCAATTTTTGCTCTCGTGCGAGGCGCACAACACAGACAGCGAGATACGAAATCGTGCCAAGCACCTCCGAGCGGCGCACGGACAATGGGGACGCCTTGTCATTGTATCGGGGGCTACACACACACATGCGGCGCATGGTTTAACGACGCGCGCCACATCATGGTGTGGCTTTGATTTTTTTATTTTTGTTATAAGGTTAAGATAGGAGAATAGAGAGAGAGAGAGAAAAAAAAAGGATGCTTGTGTATGTGTGGCGCTTTGTTGGAAATTTATATTGATCGATTTTGCGCGCGCGTTGCGATATATATGGTAGGTAGTAGGTGTTGAAATAAAACGCTGAGAGGAAAAAAGGGGAACGATTTGAAAAATGCAAGATTCGATAGAAAGATTTATGTGGCGCGGCATTTTTGAGGCCAATTAAAATTTCTATATCGTTTAATCGAATGATTAGCCTGCGAGAGCGATTACTCGTCTTTGTTTTTTGAGCGTCGTAAAAATTTATCAAACCGACTTAAACATAATTAAACGACAAACGATAAACAATTAATCGGAAAGCTAAAATACGACTATATACGTCGTACGAGTTGGTGATAAGCTTTATTGCTTCCTCATAGAGGAAGCTTTGTGACGGACCGATTTTCGACTTTCATAACTAATAGTCGTAGAGTACTTTTACATATATATTCTTAAACTAGATCGAATTGCTGACACATGTCTGTATGTGTTTGTGTCAGCGTTGGGAAGAGGACGTCTACACGAGTCCGCTAAACTGATTTCTTTATCGACATGGTCAGCATAGCCAACCTTGTAATTTGAACCGTAGCAAATTACACAACTATATGTATTTTAAAAAATGTTCATATAATCTCTACCATATTAACATTGTAAAAAATATGTTTGTTTTATACGAGTTCTTTGTTGACTATATATTGTTCGTTAACTATTAATGATAGTATGTCTGCGTTAGACTTGCGCTAATAGTTTTTTAAGTGATGTCATAAGCTATATAACATTTCGTATCGATGACGTACATAATGAAGTTCTTTGGATATTCAAATTTAATATCTAGAGACCGGTTTGGGGAAAATGTTTATGAAACACTAAACACAACGTTTTTAATTATGTAAAAAAATTTCCGAAATTCATGATTTTAGTTTTAAAAAATTTTCATCAGAGTGTAATAAAATAGGATCCACAAGAGATACTCCTGATGAGATCGATTTAAATTTCTTACATCAAGCATAATTATTTTTAATCATTAAGAATTTGAAGCATTCTGTGAATAGATCGAATAAAGGATCTGATGGGTTTTCAAGACAAAGTCAAAAATTTCAATAAAGAATCTCATCTAATTCTTTACTCAGACTAATATTTTTATATCTGCACTTCGCACGTTATTTGTTATAACTCACAAACATAAATGTTTCATTTTTTAGGCGTCCAAACGATGTTCCCCATTTATTTTATAAATAATACAAATTACGAGCATTCATATGTCACCATGGTAATTTATTTACACGGAGCATCACTTATTTGCAAGTTTATAATGTATGGTATCATCCGGACGATATGAATGTAAAAAAAATTTGTATGAATAACAGAGTACAAAAAAAAACTGAAGATGTTTATTTAATAATTTATAAACAGAAAGACATAAATGAACATGCACTAGTTATATGTCTGAATTAATAATTTAAAACAAATAAAACGCGTGAATTTTATTTTTTATTAGGATATAGTAAATGAAACATTAGGGTTTTAAATTGTGAGGTTGGCTACGCTGACCAAGCCGATAAAGAAATCAGCCTAACAGACTCGTGTAGACGTCCTCTTCCCAACGCTGGTTTGTGTGTGTGTGTGTTGGGATGTGCGCAGTGACATCTCGATGACGGTAGTTCGTATCTTTACTGTAGATGTCTCATTTTATTCGTTTTGTTGTAAGGAAGAAGCCAAAATATCATTTTTAGTCCTGCGTTGAGTATTTAAAAAGTTATGAGGGATTTTCGAGAAAAAAAATTTTTTTTTCGTGTTTTTTTAGTTTTGTCATATTTGTTTTAAAACAAACTGGTTTTTTAAAATAAAAGTAATAATTTTTTTAAGGAAGAGCTTTTAACATTTGATTTAAGATAAAAAGTGTAAAGATTTACCGTAAGTTTAAAAAGTTACGTTTTAAAAATGAAATTTGGTTTTTATGGTTTTTTCTTTTTTCTTAGTTCTATGTTGTTTCGTGTTCAAAATTTATGATGTTTTAAAACATTGTTTATAGATAGATTAAGGATGAAGCCAGAAAGTTTAATTTAGTGGTAAACGAAAAAAAAATTTTTTTTTTTTTCATATCGTTTGGTTGAGAAATAATTTATGATCGAAACTGTTTTGTGAAGAAATTAGAAAAGGTAATATTAATATTTCCAATAGCCCGCGAAAAACAAAAAAGTCCCAGAGTACGTGTAATTAGTATCCGAGGCGAAGCCCAGGCCGATAAACACGTGCTCTGGGACTTTCTTTTTTCGCGACATCGGCCTGTATACTATTATTCATACACAGTGGCCCGAAAATCGCTCTTCCAGCTTTGAGCAGTGGCAGAGAAGTAGTGACTTTCAGGCCGCTGGTATGAAAATTATTTTTTTTTTCGGGAACTACTTTAATTGTTACGTCATCGTGAAAAAAATTCGATAAAAATTATATATTAAAGAATAGAAGAGCGTTGGCAATTAATTCCACAAACAAAAATAATTTATGGTTGAAACTGTTTTGTGAATAAATTAGAAATGATTATATTAATATTTCCAAATTAATTTCAAGTTAAAAAAAAAGTATGAGGAAGCTACTTGCCAATGTTTTTGGCCTTTTGGTATCAAAAGGCAAAAAAACCTGCGATGGCCGGGAATCGAACCCGGATCAACTGCTTGGAAGGCAACTATGCTGACCATTACACCACCATCGCAGTACATTAGGAAGGATCTCATTTATGCACAAATGCCTGGAGTTCGTACTACTTTGCTATCTCATCAGGAAAATGAAGAAAATCCCTCACCATAACAATAGGCGATCGATTTTCCTCGTACTCCACATCAAAGCGGATAATACCTTCGCACCATCCCCGAGTACAAAGCGATCGAATAGAATTTTCCCTTTACGAATAATTTTCCGCGTGGCTTTGGCAAGAAGCGAGTGAGAGAAACATGCATACGGCTCTCTTGCGTTTAATCGTCTGCGGAAAGTGTAACTACTGCAGCAAGTAGACTAATCGAAAGCGCGAAAATCAATAAAAGCTTCGTGTTTATCCGGCGTTTTTCACTGCTGAATTTACTGCTACTACTATTCACACACACATGCACACACATTGAGTTATACTATAGCTCAAAGTGGCAGCATCCACATGTTTCAATACGTAACCACCGGCGCCACCACAGCTGAATCCCTTTAATTATTAACGACGAGTATCGCGAGAGATAGGTATGCACTCTCGCACATAAACACACAAACACATTGCCAGCTATACAGTAGCTGTTGCCTGCTGCTGTTTATATCGATGAATATTATAGATAGGTACATTAGCGCCGTGGAGCTAGATACAGAGAGAGAAAGAGAGGATAATTCGTCTCGCCTCGCTCGGCTGCATACATAACTGGCCTCTCTATGTAGCTAACTATCCGAGCTTTCACATTTGAATGCGGTGCGCAAATTATTATACATGTGCGGATATATATTATTGTATATAAAGCTCTTTCGCGCATAGGCGAAATTCTGACGGCAGCAGCAGCGGCAGCACGACGCCGTGTACGTATGTACTACGTGCGTACCCCCGATTATCAATCATTTAGGCGCGCATACATACAGTTTTATAAATCGGAGAAATACGATCGGAATCACGAGTATATAATAATAATAATAACGTAACGAACAATGACGTGGCGGGCTATATGCAACTGCACATGTGTGCAGCCGAACTTTTGTAAAGCAGCAGCAGCAGCAGCTACACGTACATATGAATAAATCATTTCTATATAAATGTAATCACTGCATCAATCATGCGAGCGCGGATGGGTGCAGGCCATTTAATGAATATCGATCACCCGCAGCAAATAAGCAGTCGTCGTCGACGTCGCGTCGGACTAGTAGAGCCGCCCACCGCTGCGTACATACATCTACATTTATATTACACACCTACCACTATCCACTGCTGTGTGTGTTCAAACGCACGATTCGGAATTGATGAATTCGAAATATGCAAACCAATTGCCAGCGAGCTTTACAGCCAAAGGTACATTCGTGTACGTATTAACGCGTCGCGCGCCGCGTTTACATATAATCGAGACGCGTACAGTAATGCCGCGGTATATACAGAGAACCCGCCAGGAATCTCTTTTATTCCGAAAATTCACTTCGCGACTTCATTAGCGATATATACTCGCCCGTGTGTGTGTGTATGCGTGTATGTGTGTATTTGCGCCGCGCAACGCGTAACGGTAAATCAAACTCATCAGCCGCGCTCGTGTGTGCTTGCTGCGAAACAACAACAACGCGACGCGCAACGAGCTTCCGAATTTCACGTGTGCATGCGCTATATAACGCGGCGCACTCGTTGTTCCTGACGTTTTTTGCGATAGGTATAGTATAAAGCAAACGTACGG